GGCGTTGGAACATGGTCAAAACAGTGTTTTTCTGACCTAAATATAGGATCTCGTCAGTTCAAACGCAACAACCTTGATTTTTTTTTTTTAAATAGCACGCATTTGGATCGGTTACATGAGTGGAAAATTTACGTATGATTTTTAGCCTTTTATGAAATTCGGTTAGACCGAGCAGTGTGTGCTCTGTAAATATGCAGTTTTTCAATTTGGTGTCGCCCCCTGAGATGGCGTCACGCGGTGCGGCCCACACCCCACCCCCGCACCCCAATACTACGCCACTGGATTTGGAAGTCCTTGCAAAATTACCCGAACATTGTCAGTAATTAACATAGTAGGATATTTTCTCTCTCAATACGATTCTTTTATTGATCCAAATAAATGGATTGTTTTTTAAATGACAAAGTACGTTACTCCATTACAGTACATACATGCATACATATCAGTTATGTGGTCAGGGCATGCTTCTGTCATCTGCGCGCCCTGGGTCAGCTGCGTCCTAAACTCAATAGGAGAACAGCCAATGCTGTAGCGGTAACTCTAATCCAGTCAAGATTAGATTACTGTAACAGTTGTTTGTGGGGTTTACCTCAGAACCAAATTCAGAGACTCCAGAACTTACAAAATACTGCAGCACGCATTGTATCGTGGATAAAGAAATCTGACCACATTACCCCAGTTCTACGAGATCTCGATTGGGTTCCTATGAGTGAACGTATAGACTACAAAATTCTGTCCCTGGCGTAAAGCTGCACAGAAGGCTCTGCACCGGAATATCTTAAAGAACTGATTTATAAACATGTATCCTTAAAAAACCTGCGGTCTTCAACACAGCCCTTACTGAAAATTCCCAGTGTGAATGAACACAGAAACATTTCTTACGGAGTGCGCTCTTTTGAAGCGATAGCACCAAAATTATGGAACAGTGTGCCTCAATCTTTGAGGGGAATTGAAAATGATAAAAAAAATTATTTAAGAACCATTTTAAAACTTTTTTGTTTAGATAGATTTAAGAAAATCAGAGCGCAGTGAGCATGCTAAAGTAGCATGGATACCAGCGCTATATAAATATCCAATCAATCAAACATATTCTTACAAAGACAAACATTTTAAACTAGAGCAATTAATTCAACACAAGACATCTTAAAGTATTTCTCAAGCGCAAAAATCAACCGCCATATGCCATGCAACTTCACTCAGTAAGTGACAATGTTAACATTAGGTTGGGTTATTTACATTTTTTGAGGATTATTTTGCCATCAATATTTTATTTTATGGAACAATCGTTTTTCGTCCCATCAAAAAAAAAAACAATTAAAAAAAACAACAACAAAAAACAATACATCTCCATCCACATTCAATCCTTATCCACATCCAATAAATCCTCATCCATATGCCCACTGAAAGATCCGCCTCTTCTTCTCCCCACCCATCAACTATTTACGTGATGTTACCATTGGCAAGCAGAGAGTGAATGTATTTGTTGTATCAGACACATGAACCGGTTTAGTGATTCTAGGAACCTGTTTGTTGGGGGGGGGGGGGGGGGGGGGAAGTTGCTCCACCGTGTAGCAGTGTAGCGGACAGTCAGATAGGAAAAGTTTGATCTTCGGCGCGGTTCTTGTGTAACGACAGTATGGGGGGCCACATTTGAAATTCCGCAATGTGCTTTAAGCGCTAGATTTAGCGTCAATTTATTTAGACGAGAAGGAATTTGGTTAACAATTTAACGAATACTTCGAGAAATAATATTTTGGTTGCTATGTTTAAGTTCTTCAGTTCTTGGTTCTATAAAAAAGTTTTATCTTATGTTCCTATGGCTATATATCGACTTCCTTGTTTCTTTAATAAGAATAAATACTTAGCATTCAAATATCATAAAAGCAGACTTATGGCAACTATAAAAAAACATCATATTGGCAGACTTACATCATATTGGCAGACTTTGGACCAACATTCAAACATCGTATTGGCAGACTTATTGTCAGCATTCAAACATCATATTGGCAGACTTGTCTATTATACTACTATGAATTAAACATGGTTCTCATCATCTGTTTTTACTAATAACAAGCACTAGTTTGTTTTTTTTATTTTCTTTGGGGGAAAAAAAGGGGGTGGGGTGGGGTGATATTTGGCAAATCTCGGGGTAACCCATATATTAAGGACTTCTCCTGAATTAAACATGGTTCTCATCATCTGTTTTTACTAATAACAAGCACTAGTTTGTTTTTTTTATTTTCTTTGGGGGAAAAAAAGGGGGTGGGGGGGGGTGATATTTGGCAAATCTCGGGGTAACCCATATATTAAGGACTTCTCCGGCGCCCCAACTTTTATCTATGTCCTCCGGGAAGGGGGGGGGAGGATTTCATATTTTGCGGGGGGAGGCAGTCCCATGACCAGAGGCGTAGCTAAGTGGTGCAGATGGGACAGAAGTCCTGGGCGCCAGGCTAATGGGGGCGCCAAAATGAGCTTTCATGGTATTTAATGGTTGAACGTAAAGGGTTTCACCGTTGACGGGGGATTAAAAATGAATCTTGTCCCCTGACGCCAAACACTCTGGCTACGCCGCTGTCAGTGGCGTAGAACGTGGGTGGATAGGGTGTCCCTTATCTTTATATGTGGCGTTTTCGGACAACTGCAGAGTTTTTATCGTGAAAGGAAAGAGGCAAAAAGCTAGAATACAAAAACTTTCGATGTAGGGACAGTGCACTTAAATTGCTTCCCCCCCCCCCGGCAAGCTGTATGAAATAAACACTGGTAGTTAGGTGTGTCGGTGGTATTGTTTGTATTTTATTGCTTAAAAAATAGGTCTCATAGTGGTTTAAAAAAATTGTTTGAGGGGGGGGGTGGCGTAAAAATGACTATTTCCCTCGGGTGCCAAACACTTGAGACACTCCCCTGGCGATGCCTGCACTCTTATTGGAGTACACCGGAAGTTAAAAGCACTGCAGTGTTTGAATGCTATTGCATAAATTCATCTCTATGGCTAGAGTCTTTCTTTTGGACTACCGTATGTAATGCTGAAATGTGTGGACCATTGACCCGCGTCACTGCTCACAACTATTGCGATGATATGTTTCTGCGTGTCATTGTGTCTCTGTGTGTGGAGAGATGTGTTGGCTGATAACTGAGACAACAACACATGTATCATCTAACCCAATCGACCCAACGAATCGAATTATTCTTTCTTGATACCATAACAAAGAAATTGGAGGACACATGCGATCATAATCCGAACTATGTAACTATAACACACGCATAAAACATAGGGAAACCGAATGATAGGCCTATATATATTGTTCCTTTGAAAATCCCTGACGTGAAATTTAAAGCATAGTCTACATTATCTTGAAATATAATATCTTGAAATATAATAAGCGATAGAGAGCAAATGAAAACAAGATAGTCCTGTTCCATTTTTAAAAAACAATATGTGTTTTATGCAGCGGCCTCACTGTATATATGTTGCTATTTTAATATTTATAAACCAAGTCATTTTGGTTTATATGTAGCATTGGATCTTTACTCAGTACCTAACAAAAATAATGATCGTGGGTTCGAATTCGCAAATATTTTGAAACACAAACAAATATTTACACAATTAATATTGGTGGCATGGAACTTTTGAATTTAGGAAGCACTGCACTAAGCGACGGAAACTAATATGGAAATTCCAAATAAAGGCTGTGCCATGCCCTTCATTTCAATTCACGAGACCTCCCACGATTTGACGGAACCAATGAGCCACGCCCATTCTTGATGATATATTTTGCTTTAGACTGTCGATCATGTTTAACTTAGGTTAAAGTTCAATTATACGTAATAGTAAGCTCGGTGTGCGGTTAACGGGGGGGGGTGGGGGGGGGGGGGGGAGGGGGGGAGGAATTGATAGTTCGAGAGAAAATAAAAGGAAGTTAAAAATGTGCGAATTCATTATTTAAATTTCAAAATGAGCTGGTTTTTTTTTGGTACCCTTTTCTTTCAATTTATCATATTTTTTGTTTGTTTTGATAATTGATTTTATAGGCTACCGATACTCAAGTTCAAGTGTGACCAAAATTATTCTTCGTAAGTTGCTGATCAAAAGAGAACGACTTATTATATTTTAGGTTATACTATTGTACAATATATTCCGTAAAGTTATATGTTTTATAATTCGTATCCGGAAATTTGTTTGAAAGAAATTTCGTCGACGGTAAATTGATCCACGGATATGTTATCGAACGGAAGTTTGTCGAATCTTTTTTTTTGTTTTTTGTTTCAGTTCACACTCACGTTAAAATTTTGCGTCACATATCTTTTTGAACTCATTATTTTGTTTTACTATATAGTATAGTGCGTTCAAAAAGAAATTTGTCGAAAATTTGATTGTATGAACTGAAAAAGGAATTCGACCAAATTTCTGTTCGATCAAATTTCCGTCGATCAATTTTCCGTCGACGAAATTTCTTTCAAACGAATTTCCGGAAACCTTTATAATTCAATAGTTTTGCCACTCTCCATATTTGCGGGATTTTTTAAATCCATAATCTCACGTGACAACCTTCATTATACCTACATAATACTTATCTCGGCCAGCCCGCCCAAGGTGACAAGAAAACTCGCTTGGCAACCACTAGATTATATCAACTAAATCTGCTCCTACTAACATACTGTAGGCCTACTACTGTAACATAGTCTGACATAGATTATAAAATTTTTCTTTTTAAAAAACTCACAATCATTATATTTAAAACAAGCTCCCCAACGAATCCCCATTATTTGACACACATTTTATTTCAATCAATTCAATGCACATAAACTTTCATATCTTTTAATAAAAGTTTTAAACACTGAGTCAGTATTAGTAACAAAAATAGCTGGTCGTCTGATCATGTGAACATACTTCTGCGCGGAAGATTTCCGGTTATGTAGGACAAAAACAGCCAATGAAAAAACGAGAAAGGAGGAAAATATCCGGGTATGAGGCCTAGGTCAGAACAATTTCTTCCGGCCTGGATTGGTTAAACCTGCAATAGTTGGGTGGTGTGGGTTGAAATCAACTTAGTTGTTGACGACCATACTGGCAAACTGCGGAGTGTAAATAGTGACGTGTCTACTACGCCTAAATCCGGTATTTTATTCAGGCAATGGCTGCCTTACTGTTTTTCGAAGAAACCGATTAAGGAGAAATCACTTGGTGGATCAGTTTAAGCGGAATTCCAATTACAGTGTGCATCGATTTGAAACGTTTTCTTGTCATTGTTACTGAGCGAATTCATGGAAAACTTGGCGTATTCCACATGCTCAATTCCAGATGCAGTTCTATCGTAATGTTAAATAGGTCAATTCGTCACTGTAAGTTATGAAATCTAAGAATCAAATTTTGTAGTAGATTGTACATAACTATACTGTATACTAGTTACTGTAGATAGCTGGGGGATAATTTATTATAGATTACCTAACAGGCCATTATCTCAATCATGTCATTATGGGCATAAAAATAAAACTTATATTTAATATGGTTCTAGATTAGGCTTGGCAGAACTTTTTTTTTTTTTTTAATTTTTTTTTTTAGTTTAAGCTTAGTGTATAAGTATAAGCCTTCCTAGGCCTAGTGCTCTTCTGATGTATTAATCATTCGAGCCTAGACCTAGGCTTTATAATGTATTTTATTGGCTTTTAACTTTAAAGAATGAATTATAATGCCAATGCCATGGCCATGGCCATTTTTATGTTTATTAAGCCTAGGCCTAAGTGTCCCAATTTAAAATAAAAAAAAGTTTTTGCTAGACTTATGCCTAGGCTTAGGCCACTTAGGGGCGGGCCTAACCTACTACACAAAACTATATTGTATTTATATGCAACAGGAGTTCTAGAACCTGGTAATTTATAATAATTTATTTGGCCTAGCCCGCCTACTACTATTTAGCATTTAATAATTTCAATAATAACTAAGAATGTAGTGTAATCTATGTCTAAGCTTAGTCATATTAGTAGGCCTTGTGTGTTAAACTTAATAATAGTAGTAAATTACATTAAAGGTAGTAAGTAAGCCATAAGCCTATCCTATTTCAATTCTGATGTGCACGTTTTCAAAGTGTTGGCCTGCCTACACTAGGCTACTTAACGAATCTAATGAAGAATTTGTCCTCATGCTTAATTTTAAGGCAAGGCAATTCATGCTGAAAGTTATAGGCCTGAGCCTGAACATATTTAGGTTTATACAGTATACTTCAATTTATAAATGCTAGCGTATTGTTATTTTTTAACAGGACCTACACAATTAATAGCCTTAACTTTATATATCAAATGGTAAAACACAAATTTTCAACAGGCTATCTTTAGTTTTTATGTACAAGGCTTACAAGGACTAATTTAAGCCTTGATCCCCCCCTCCCCATTAAAACACCAATCATAATATAATGAAATGCAAACTCATGTATCTTTTATTTGCTGTGATAATAGGCTTTTACTTTTAGCGGCTGGGAAATCGATTTCAACTGTTTATATCTCTTAACCTTGTTTCCAAGAATAAAAATATTTAAATAAAGAAAATAAAAGGGCCTACTTGGTTATTAAAAAAAAAAATTCATTTATGTTGAAATTTTGAAGACCTTGTCTACGTACCGGTATGCAGAAAAAAATAATAACTCTAATTTACAACCATTGTGTGACTGGTGTTACGCAAACTCTTTTCATTGTTATGGAGTTAAATTTTAAGGTAAGATTCATTCATTAAAAATGTTTTTTAATTATTTATAATCCCCCCACCCCTTTTCCAGGTTTTTATCCTGAAATGGACATGTAAAAGAAAAGACAAGAGGAATAGCTTGTAGTCAATTAATACATTATACCATCATGTTTGTCACATTAGTTTCGAATATTTGATTGTTCATAAATAAAATATTGAAGTAAAAGAAAAATCAAAATGACTTAGACTTAGTGTAATTTAAAAAAAGACTTCTGGTTAAAGAGATGTCTGTCAGATATAATATTGAAATGGCAGCGTACCATAACAGAGAGAAGAAAAATGGAGTGACAAGCTCTGCTACACAGACAGAGATTGTCAGCAGTGAGATTTTATGGCAGTGTCTGTATGTGATAAAGTCGGAATTTGAGAATCTATCTTACAGGGTAAGTTTATTCTATAACTAGGCCTAAGTATCCTTTTTTTTCTTTTAAATGTATTTTTTTTTACCTTTTGTTCATTCTATACTTGTTGTTCAGTATGCTTAATTCTTGCTAAGAAATCAGATATTTTTTCTAATTTATCTAGATGGATTAACTAACAAACTGTCAAAACAGCCAATAAAAAATTTGTAATCGAGCTGAAATTTTCGGAGTTTTCTTTTACTTTTAGGCGTCAGATGTTGGCCCTGCAAAACACAGTCCCTAATTTATTTGAATCATTTCATCATGAAAATGATTTTGAAGATAGTTTTGTTGACATTACTCGTGATAGTGATAATTAATGTAGTGGAGTTAGCACTAGTGGCAGTTCAAGCTCTAATAGTGGTAGTATTTAAAAATAAGGTACTAATGAATTTAATTGGCATTATTTTTATATAAAGAAATGTGTAGGTCATCAATTAATTAAAAAAGTTTTTAACATACATTTATTTTCACCCAAATATCTTTATTATATTTTATAAATTGAAAGAGTAGTGTTTTTAAGTCTGAAAGACTTATTTAGATGTTAAAAATGACCCAACATTCAGTGTGTGTTTAAGTTAGATAGAGATCATAGCAATGTTACTAAAAAGTTAGAGATCATAGCAATGTTACTAAAAAGTTAGAGATCATAGCAATGTTACTAAAAAGTTAGAGATCATAGCAATGTTACTAAAAAGTTAGAGATCATAGCAATGTTACTAAAAAGGAGTCCTTTTTTGCTTTTGACAGTTCATGGTTTACAACTAGTTAACTTGAAATCTTCCAAACTAAAAAAAAAAAATAATTTAACTTGTCCAAACAATAACTAAGGCCTATCTAGACTGAATATTGGCATGTTTTAGGTAAGAAAATAAATAAAGTAATTTTTAAAGGAGCTGGAATTTAATTTAGAGAAATTATTTTGAAAAGCTAATCATACATCAGTAAGGTATTGCCAACGTCTTCAAAGATTCCTCTCTTAATACCATATTATGTTCCAGTAACAGAATGTAGTGCAAGTGACAAAAAATAAATCTCACTTCAAAGAAAATGCGTCACACGATTCGTGGAATAGGTCTTCCAGAAACATCCATAATAAGTGGACCAAGAATTTCTCGGTGAATTATTGAGTAAACATGTTTTTTTTTAACCTGGATCAAGTCCAGGATAGACCTTTTTTTTAAAAATGACGGTGGGGTGTACCATGACATTTGAAGTAGTTTGTAACAATCAGTATCATTGAAGTGGGCAGTTAAGTGTGAATACACTCCCCAACATTTTTAAAAGAATCCTGCTAAGGCACAGCTTGTCAATGAGATAAGGCCTGGGCTTTTCTAGAAACTGTGTGGGATTTTTAATGGCGGGGGATAGGAATTCCCAATACCCTTTCAGCCCATGGTTACGCAAGGCTGTACAAAACTGCTGCGTAATAGTGTTGTCGTGTACATCATACCAAGGAGTGTTAATGTAAAATATATAATAAAGTTTCCTTTATAATTATATTATTATGACCCCTTGTACAGTTGTAAATTTTTTTTATTTGTTTCTCGCCTAAAATGTTTTGGTGTTTTTTAAATTTTCAAACACAGTACTGCATATGAGCCTACTGCAAACTAATTTATTAATTCTATTGTATTTAACATGATTATAGAAGGAGATTAGGAATAGTTTTGACTCAAATGGAAACCTTTATAAGTATATTGTCCACACTCGATGTTATTGAATATACTTCAATGACTGATAATATTTAAGTTTAAGGACTAGTTTTCATAAAAATTAAATTGGCCTTAGCAATAAATTCAATCTATAATTATTTTGATGCTTTTTTTTTTTTGGTTTTTTAAAATATATATTTTATGTTTTCCCGTTTAATTTGTCTTTTACTTTAATCTAAGGCTCGACAGTCTGTGATAGGTCTTAAGGATTTATATTAAAGTACATTAAGACATAGTGTCTATTAATAAACAAAAATTTTGTTTATTTTTATTTCAATGACTGATAATATTTAAGTTTAAGGACTAGTTTTCATAAAAATTAAATTGGCCTTAGCAATAAATTCAATCTATAATTATTTTGATGCTTTTTTTTTTTTTGGTTTTTTAAAATATATATTTTATGTTTTCCCGTTTAATTTGTCTTTCACTTTAATCTAAGGCTCGACAGTCTGTGATAGGTCTTAAGGATTTATATTAAAGTACATTAAGACATAGTGTCTATTAATAAACAAAAATTTTGTTGCTTTTTACAGGTAACCAAAACTCAGAATGGTCAAGAGGCACTTGTTGTTTACCGTAATGATGTTTTTGGGGTCTATGGTCCTCCCATTGACCCAATCACCCTGACACTTGACCCATTGGGCAAGTGTCTGCTGACTATTCTATTCAAACCTTTGCAGCGAGTCTCAGTTGTGAATCCAGAGTCTGGTTGCATTGAAATAAATTCCTTGCTGACTGTATTGAGACTGGTTGAAGGAAAAAACTATAATTTTTGCCCAGGAATTCCTGAAAAATTTTTGATAGGAAAGGTAAATAAAATTAAAACTTATAAAGTAAAATAATTAAACTTTATTTTTATGAGTCTATTTATATTAATTTTTGAATTGTTCTTTATGGATGAAGGAGACTTGCTGCATCTTGATCCTTTCAAATACTTCTCTTGTGTAAAAAGTTAATCAAATTAAAAAATTTAAATAATTGCGATTGCTTCTTTCAAATAGTTGATACAAAATATTTTGTACGATGTTCATTGTTTTTTTTTAGGCATGTAACCGCCACGTGATACTTCAAAAGGTTCCATTCAAGCGTTTTCAGTCAACGAACTGCCCTGTCTACTACCAGACTCCACTGCTGCAACAGAGAAGTTCAAAGTCTCCCTATCTAACCATATGCCCAAGATGTTTGCAAGCAGCGAAGTGGGCACAGACTCTACCATTACAGCCTTTTCCCAATCCACAGCTGTTGCAAATGAATGGACTTCGCCCCAGAGAACCACAGGAGCTTTTTTCTAGAGATATCCACCCCATGATGTCATCACCAAATAACCTAAGGGTGATCTCTGTGTCTCCGCTTGCCATGGGATCTGTATTTTCTTCCAGTGTGCCGCCCAAGCTGCAGGATGTTGAAAAACAGACTGGATTACTTCAAAACAATTCCACTTTAGATGTAAATGGCAACAGGAATGTAGCTTCACTAACTTTACAAGAGACTGAGAGTGTTGGTGAAGTTAAAAGTCCATCCTTAATGGACAAACTGCAAATGGCTACCACATCACTTCGGCTTATGCTGCAGGAGAAGTACAAGAAAAAGACACTGGGATTTCCGGTTGAAGGTTTGTTTTTGTTTACTTCAGCAAGATATAATTTCAAATGTTGTGAGCATTCATATACTTGTGCACATTATAAAGTCTGGTACTGGTTGTAATAATATTAAAATGAAACAAATTAAGCCTCTTCTGAGCCATGTCACCAAAGTCTCAATGATAAGAGTTTCTATTATGCTGGTGTGAAATATATTTATTAAAATAAAACATTCAAATATGATAACATTAATGGCCTCATATAAGTTAGTTTTATTATTTAAATAAGCCCTAATGTTTTAATTTGTTTGACTTTTTTCAGATATTAAAGTAGAATACGACAAGAAGCAGGAATCTGTAAAAAAACAACGGAGCAATATCTGTAAACAATGCAAGAAACAGTTTTCCACTCCTGCAAGTCTTCTTAATCATCTCCAGCGTCATGAGGGGCTGTCGGGATCCTGGAAGAATCGACCCCATGCAGCAGGAAAGCTGTACACTTCTAGACGTTTCTCCCCACTTGTTAGAATGGTGATTCGCGGTTCCAAGACACACGATGTACCTCAGGGCAAGAAGAAGTCCTCCCCGTTATCTCAAACTAATTTAAGATTGGTCTTAAAATGCCTGGATGATATCCTCCTCTCCCTAAATGGGACTCAGTTTGTGAAGGGAAAGGATTCTTCACAGGATGTTGAACATCAGGGAAATAAGTTGGAAACTAAGGAACATGATGTTCAGACAAGGCCAAGTCTGAAACGTACATCTAGTGGACTTGCAGCAGTTCAAACATTGCTAGAGGCAGCAAAAATAGCTGGGGATGGATTTGATGATGTTAACAAGGCAGCAAATTCTTTCACAGATCATGAAGGTGCACCTGGAAGAAAACGTAAAAAAGTTGCAGCAGTTTTTCCAGTCCAGCATCCACCTGCAGAAATTTCAGATGATCAAGATGACCTGATAACAGGCTCTGACAAAAAGCCTAGAAAAAGCCCGCGTTTGGCAACTAAGAAGTCCAAATCCAAAGGCTTGAACAGCTGTAAATCTACTAAGCAACAAACCACATTTAAAAATAGTGAAAACTCAACTTCTGCTAATGATCCTGGCTTGCTGAGAAACTTGGACCTTCTCTCAAGTGTTAGCCTCAATTACCATCCATCGGCCGACAGTTCTAATGCAGCTCCAGTGACATCTCAACCACCTCAGATTTGTACCAGTACTGCAGCATATCCAAATGGTGCAGGTATTACCTTTTCTACCTCAGCAACCAACAGCACACCAGCAACACAGAACATAAGTATTTCCAATCACTTGTTAAACAACACATCAGGTGGAAGTGTGGTATTGACCAATAAATTCCAAGACAGTGACTTGAGGAACAGTACCAACCTTCCTCCTCTGCCTCCCTTGCTGTTTGCTGGAAATGGACCTGGTCAGGGGTTTTCTTATAATCACAGCAAATCACAGCCGCAGCAATTGTCAGGTCAGCCTTTTCCTAGTACTTCACCATCTATTCTGAAGAACCTGGTCCTTACAAGCAAAACTCCAACTCTGTCCTCTGTCGATTCAGGTTTAGGTGATGACCTGTCCAGCAGTGAATGTGGAGCCATTGACCTGTCTAAGCCTAAGCAACTGAAAGTTGCAAAGACCATTCCCCAAAATTATGAGAAAACTTTTGACATTACTGGATTGTCTGGGCTGCCCCATAATTTTGCACAACTGGTTTCTGGAAATGACAACCCTAGAGAAATGTTACAGTGTCTGATGAGGATGTCTAATAAGCCCGCCAGCCCTGTGGCCCCAAGTAAATTGGTTCAGCCCCCTGAAAGCATAATTAGCAACAAGCAGTCGGATTCCAACCTGCAAGCACGCATGTTTGCTAGTGCCAGAAATTACAAAATTGATAAGAAAATCCCCAGCATTCCTCACGTTCAAGCAGTCATTGCATCAACTAATCGTACTCCCACAAATAAAGGGGGAAAGTCTGCAGTTCACGGTGGCACCCAGGGGGATGAGATCCACTGTGGCTACAAGTGGAGTGGCTCGGGTGGTTTGGTCAAGGAGCGAACACAAATGGTTCGTGAACTGGTACCCGTAGATGTCATGTCTAATTTCCTTAGTAAGTCTGCTTTGCCCACAAGCAATTCACATCAGCTAAATATGAATCTAATCTCTCCATCTCAGGCATTGCCTCAGCTTCCACCAATGTTGTTATTACCTTCCCCAACGTCATGTTCGCCTGTTAATAAGCAGCAGGATCACTCAGCACCTCAGATTGCCTTAAATCTTACCACTACAAAAGCTAAAAGGATTCCTAGTCCTCGAAAGTCTGGACCTGGACGCCCTAGAAAATCTGCACTCCAACCTCCTGTCCCAATGTCACCATCCTCCCCTGGTTCCACGCCTAGTAGCATCCTTCGATCTTCTTTGTTAAATCCACTTGGAACAGGCCCGCAGCCTGTGGGTGGGCGCATGTCATTAGATGCTGGCAATGGACCAAAATCACCCCAGAAGTCAATGAATTCTTCATTCATGAATATTCCTTCACCAACATCCATACTTTCCTCAGCTTCCACTACACCTACCCCACCTACCAACTGCACAATCTCCAGTCCTTCTTTGGCGGCAATGCTACGCCAGCCTGCCTCAACAAAGCATGATATGAATCATGTAGATGCCTTGATGAACAGCCATCGCGGATCACCCATGATCATTTCCCACAATAGTCCCATCCATGTCGGAAACACGATAACACTACCTGGGGGTGTGCAGATTAAGTCTGAACCATCTGACAATTACATGCATGATTCATCACAAGCCAGGATTATAATGTCGTTACCCGTGAAATCAGAATTTGTGGGCCAGCCTTTACACAGAGGGGATAGCCATATGATCAGTGATGACGACAGCTCTTCAACCGATCTAATCATGGACATAAGGGGAGAATATTCAGCCTCCAGGTATGGAGAGGACCTGTCTATGACACACATCCATTCTGTGTCGAGGACAGCTGACAGAAATTCAGATAATTCAGCAGTTAAATGTGAACATTGAAATGTAACTACATTGAAATGTAACTACATTTCAGCTTTGCTAGCTGTCTTAGTGTTGTCTGGTTTGTAAAATGTGTTATTGATTTTGTTTGTAACTAAAGGGGGCATTATTATTGCACAATCTCATTCGTTTATTGCAAAGTAGTACTGTTACTTAGTAAAATATTAACATATCTACAATTTCATGGATTGTATATGTGACTATGCAAACTTAACTCTTATTCTTGTATAGATTAGTAGAGTAGCACATTAATGAATGGATTCTTGTACACTTTCCTTTATAGTTATAATGGAAGTCAAGTTGAACATAAAACTGGTTCTCATAGGAACTTCTAGGGCCTGTGTGCACTCTGAAAAATGGTACATCCTCAATGAAAATCTGTCACCAGACACTTTGTCAATGAACATGAAAAGGGAACTTTTTTGTGCTGCACATTTGATACATTTTCCATTTAAAATTATGGGAAACTAAACAGCTTTCTAATAAGCCTTCTGATTTTCACCTTACTTTGTACATACATATGAGTGTGATGCTTTCAACATATGATATATATATATATATATATAAACATATATATTATGGAATATAATATAACTGTAAACAACTTTCACATTACTTCAGGAAAACTAGAGATTGGTCTATTGAGAGGGCAACAGTTTATTTTCAAAACTGAATGCATAAATCTTTTCAGAGGATAAATTCTGCATTATTTTATCTTGAAATCTTATCAGAACCTTTCAACTTTTCCATGTGAGCGGGAAAAAAAACTACTGTTCAAATGCACAATTCATACAAGTTGTGATGTGTTTTTATTATTTAAATTCTTTAATTAAGATACCTCACTTTTATTAACCATATATCATAGCAGTTTCAGTGCTGCATCTTGACCAGCTATGCTCCAATACCCCCATGTTTCATATTCAGACAGCCTCTTCACTGTAAAAGAGCTTTTCTTTAACTCAGGGCACAAATGTATGCACTTGTATTTTGTTGTTTTCCTTCATGAAAGAAGAGGAAGACTGTCTCTGAACTGTATTGCTGGTATTCCATCTTCACAAATATCACACTTTTAAGGCAAAACAATACAACTACACACCCTCTAAAATATAAAGGGGCATTAACAATATAGTTGCATGTATATCAATAACCCCAAGTAAGGTTAGCTCACTGTTGCTTCTGGCATTGGTTGTGGAAGTCTTGTAAATTTCCTTATAAATCTATAACATTCTCATATTCTTATAACATAGCAGCATACAAATCAGATGCATGTAATGTTGGTCAACTATTTAATTTCATAATATGGATGTAAAACATAAGTCATTTATGAAGTCACTGTTTATTTTTTTTACAATTGTTATCACTGTTAGCTTTCTTATAAGCTAGGAGAACTGAAATGTATGTACACAGCATATACAGCTGTCGCCACATGTAGAAATAATGTTCACAGTTTGAAGTCTAAACATGTCAGCACAAGTTTGTACATGTTCTTTTGTATACAATGCATGGGGCACCAGGTAGAGCTTGGGGACAGAGAGAAAAACAATAGGTAAAATGTGAAATCTTATAGTATTGATATTACACTGTACTTAGCTTTTCAACTATTGGTTTATTTTTAAAAAATAAAAAAAAGATCATAAGTGGGGAAAAAATGGAGTGACTGCAGCTCATCTTTACATTCAATATTCCGAATTTTCAGATTGTGCTATATTGTATTTATTAGAAGAAAGATAAAACACAGAACTTGATCTTTTCAAAAGTAAATGCCTACTCAATGTCTTTATTTAAAATTACCAATTACACACAATGTTACTTTAATGGTTTACATATTGTATTACAGTGTTTCTCAAACATGTTCAGCCAGACCTAATTTTTGTGTGCCCTTAAATTCCAGTTAGTTTAATACTTGAAATGCTCTATCTGACATGAGACTGTAGACTGATCTTAATAGAGCTTGAAATCAGGATTTCACTTTTTAAAAGATGTATCTTCATAAAATTTAATCCAATGATAATTCAAGTTCTGTGCTGTGACCCTCTAATAAGTTTGAGAAACACTGATTTATTGATTGCAGCATCTTCAATGTTATCATGCTTATTTAAAAATGTACTTCCATATATTCATCTTTACAAGACTTTCACTTATTTTGATGGTTTCAATTAGCTATATATCTGTTTAAATCACCATATTTGTGTGAAAATGGAATGCATTGTTAAATCATCTGACACATTTTCTTCCAGAGATAGTCAGTTCTCTTAAACACACATTTAAAGTGTGTGAGATAATTAAATTCACATTTTGTTATAAATCCACAACATGACACCGATTCATAAAAAAAAAAAAATAGGGTTTGAATTTAACATAAGATTTCAAAATTTTTATTCTTGTAAGTTTGTTTTGTTGATCAATGAATACGCACTGGAACTTGGCACCATTGTAGTTACATTATGTCCCAATATATAAGTCTTACCCCAGGTCACACTGCAGTATGCTCTGTGTGTGGTGGATTATGCTGATGAGCATCACTTAATGCAACTTATGATGATATAATAGGCAGGGGAACAACTGATGTTTTTAATGTTTAGTCTGCCATTTATTTTCTTGACTATCTTTTACAAAAAACAACACAAGCTAATTGTGTACTGTTTCACCCCTTTCTTTGAATCAATTTGGGCTATGCTTTGTATTACAGTACAGGACACAGTTGTAACACTGGCACTTAATGTCAATAGTTATTGTTTAACTTAGATAACATTTATGTTATGACATTATTCAGTGTAAAGTGATTTCATTTTTTAACCAATTTGTATTTTTTGGTGCGTAATAATAAAACTAACATTTTACAGCCTTGAAAATAAAACTTAAATTTTACAGCCTTGATAAGAAAACTTAAATTTTACAGCCTTGAAATAACTGTTTATAATTTGCAATAGTAAAATAAAGTATACTTATAAAAAGCAAAAGCTGATAATACACAACAGTTGGTAGTCTATTACAAGTTAACAAATAGATGGCTGTCATTCTGTAGCATTATAAAGTTAAATTAGCCTAAACCTAACAAGAAATATTAAAAGTTTGTAATTTATATAAACATTGTTTTAATAAAATAACATTTCCAGTTCTAATTGAAACTTGTGAAAATAGCTTTAAAGTGGGGTCTCATGTACTGACTGGCTTAAAAAAAGGATATAAAACACCTTATTTTACCTCTGAGTGGCCAGGTGAGAGACACTGAAAGGACAGACAGGTTTTGAATCTAAGAGTGAAATACCAAGAAAGAATACTGTTATAAATGCTGATTGCAAATACAATTTATTACCCCCCAAAAACAAAAAAAAACAAAAACTGAAGTTTTTTTCCAATCATAAAGTGATGTGTGCAGTATAATTTGTAAGCGTGATCAAAGTCCTACTGATTGTAAAATAAAAGCAGCTGTTTTGTGAACATACACATTTAATGTGCTAGATTATTTGTAAACCCTTGAGTGGCTTTACTCTGTTGAAATGCATGCATTGGTGTGCATGAGGTGTTTGTACATTGTAAAAACAAAAATTTAAATAATGTTACAATGAATTGTAAAACACCGAACATTATGATTAAGTAAGGGCATTATTAATAATTTATTTCTCTTTGAAAGACTTCATGTTATCGATGTATTTTATTATTCAATTTGCATTATAAACCATAGGGTTCTACCCATATTCTTTTGTATTGAAGTTATTTAAAACTCTTGAAAAAATAGTATTTGGGTATTTACAGTTTTATGTCTACGATTCATTTTTTAACATATTATAGTTTCCTTTTGTTATGACTATTTTCAATGAGGTAATTATTTCATAAAAATTATCAAAATTTTATTAAATTTTAATTTTATGATTGCTCACCTCAAATGACAAATTTTCAAAAAGCTTCCGCTAAGTAAATCAGAAATTTAAATTTTGAAATACATTTTTAGGAAATTATTTCTCTCTAAACTCAAAACTTTTTAGGAATTTAGATGAATAGGATTATCATATTACTATTACCCTCATAATTTTTAAAATCATGTATTGTTTTTGTTTCTCTTCTTGAATTATGTGATCCAGATGAAACCTCAGTCTAACATTCCAGCCTTTCCTTTCCACTAAGTTTATTGATAGTCCTTTCTCATACTTTTTTGTTTAGTGGTGGCTCCTTGATGGTTTGTAGCAAGCTCTTGAACAGTCTGCTTGGTTTTCTTAAATTTAAATGTTTGTGTGACAATTTCTGGAGAGTTTGCACAATTTGTTTGAAGTATATGGGCCTGCTTTCTAGATCAATTTCACAAAAGGTAAGCTTATAAAACTTGAAATAGTAAGTTAGTGGTTAGAGATATCACTACTTTTCAGTTTAAAAAAAAAGTCTTTATAAAAGTTGAATATTGAATTTATTGATCACAAAATGTACAATAGAGCTGCTTCATTGAGCTATATTTATATTGTTTTGAGGAAACAAACAACTTTTCAGTTATGTCACATGTCTTCAGTCCCCAGCTTTTATTCATCAAACAAAACAAAAAAAAATCCACAAAAGAACTAGAAATACATACTGTGGGCTACTAAGGGCCCTTAACACAAAGGTTACTTTGGGCTCTTTCTACAGTTATGATTATTAGTGCCAATTGTGTCCTTCAGAAATAGGTTTCAATTGTACATACATTTTATAGATAAATATATATTTATATGCATATTATGCAGAAATAATGGGCATTATGATAACTCAAAATTGTTATTGCATCTATCTTATCGTATCATTATAGTGATTATTCTATTTCTATTTATTGATTCCTAATAATTATATCATTATTGTACAATACATCATTTACAGTTTTTCTTTCATCATTCATTTGGCTGCCTTTCTTGTGTGCTTTAAAGAGTTCAGTAGGATACTGTGTGATTGTTCAATTTCACTTTTTTTTTATGTACTTGCACACTGCAGATCAGTTTGACTGTATGTACTTTTCAAACTGCAGATCAATTTAACTGTATGTACTTCTTTTGAAGAATGGGCTGCTGCAGATCAGTTTAATTGTATGTACTTTCGAGGGATAAACTGCCCAACACAGACACATACATTTTATATCCCAGGCAAGCAGTTTATTTGCATCTTATCTCCCGTGTTAATCTGTACAGGTTTCTACAAGTTCTTCTGCAAAATATAATGTTCCCTTTACAGGTCATATTGTAAACCAGGATTACTATTTGAATCTTGGAAGAATTTTTCATATTGTCATTTACAAGTTTGATTTGTTTAAAACCTTTAGACAAATGATTCTTCTGTTAAAAACAAAGCAACAAAATTTTTAAACATTTAATATTTTTGTATAAGATATAGGCTTGGGCATTACTGAACTATTTTATACAGAGAAAGTGGAAGCTCTTTTGAACATGTCTGTCATTGGCTTGTATATTAAATGTCAGATTATTTTTTAAAAATTGGTTATTATGATTAAGACGCAACTACAAGCCTTTTTGCTTATAGTGGATGAAAATGGCATTGCCTGCAATGAGGAAAAATTATATGATAGAAGAATTTGCAAGAGATAAAAAAAGAGCTTAAACATTGCATCCGTTGTCTTATATGAATGGTCTTTTTAAGGTTTTGTTTTAATTTCAATGTTCTTATCTTTCTCATTAAGCAGAGTTTTGTTTGAAATGTAAATAGAATTGTGTTCTTCTGTTTGTTTTCATTTTTCATATGCGCTTTAAAACAGAAAGCACATTTTTAACATCTTCATTTATTGGGGCATTGAAAGAAATGGATTGACTCTTTCTTTGGTTTACTTTATTATTCCGTTTAGCAAGCCTTCAAGTATTCATTCAAGATGATTTTATTAGCTTTGAGATAGATGCAAATATGTGGCATGTCTATTTTATTTGGTCCAGGAGTTGTCATTGTGATGAGACTGAGTCTCTGTTCCCTAGAAATGAAGCTCTTGATTTAACCAAAAGGTCATCTATCTCCAGATTTGACTCTAAAGGCTATTTTTCTTCTTGTTGGGAAGTGGAACTAACACTTTGTTTCTTTGCCATTTTGGTTTTTGTTTTGCTTTTAGTCTGTATGATCTAATTTGTGCTAGAATATGTTTGTGCAGATAAGAAAACAGCTGTTTTGTTAATAAAGTGATACTTTTATTGATAATCCAGTCTGTGTTAAATTAAGCAAGTAAATATCGACCCAAAAAATGACTTAAAAATGTTTTAAAAAAGAACAGAAGCTTAACAGCTTGATGAGGATGATCTAAATGTTGGGAACCAGGTCAAGTTTAATACCCTTGTTTTATGACTCATTATATCATTAACCTGGCAGCTATTAGAATATAAAATTATGTATAAAGTTTAGTGTTGTAGTTTGTTTGTTTAATAAGTGTATTATAAGTAGTTGTGTAAAATATGTGGAGGAGGTTTACTTTCTACTGTCTTGCCAATGTCATACTGATGCTGTGGATCATGAGTTGTCATGAAAGAACTGTTGGGAGTTCATGGTATTTTTTTTTTATATTCCATTGTTGATACTCGAATGATACTCTACTTTAAAATAGAATAAATTTACTCTTCTGAAGCAGAACATAAGAAATATTATACCATAACTCAACATCAATATGATCAACTAAAAACTTGTGAGAGCTGTTTTTTGTGTTCGTGACATTGGATGACTTTCAGGACCAATAGCTTTGGCTGGTGGATCTTAAATGGCTTTAAATTGTGAAATGTTTAAATACTTTAAAAAAAAGAGAATTCTGCAAGAGCAGTGAATGCTGTTTAGAAGCATATGAAAGTGTACAGTGAGCTATCATGTGTGGCTCAACCAAAGAGCCACTTGTCTCGCTTAGAGTATAATGTAGAGGTGCAACAGAAGAACTTTTGTCACTCTTACATTAAAAATAAACACCACTTTTGAGTAAGTATTATTCAACAAGGAAATTTCCCACTTATGAATTTGACTTCTTTTAACACTGCATTACAAAACATGCTCTGATCCATTTAGTAGTGGATGAAAACTATTCAAATTATGTTGACAAATATGCAACCACTTTTAGAGCCTGCTTCTGTTGTCAAAAGCTGGATTCGCTTAGTAGTACTAGAAAACATTTTCATGTTGGTGTAGTTTTTTTTCCCCTTATGTCATGTATTCTTCACACTAGATGAGAAAAATATTTCTCTAAATTTGGTCTTTAGATCTCTGCAGTAATGTATATTTTTGGTTTTCTCAATCAATTTTATAAAGCTGTTTTTTTGTTTTTTACCTGTGTGGATTTTTTAAAGAACATCTTGTTTCATTTGAATATCTTTTTAAAAAATTATATATTTAGAAAGTGTGTTATTGGAGAATGTTTATGATTTTAAGTTCTGTGATTTGTAACTTTGCTGTTTTTATTTGGCTGTCTTAGTGAGAAATCAAATAAAAACCACAGTGTAGTTAGAATCAAAGCTGTCCATATTTTTTCCAGTACATTCTACTTTTGAGTGTTACGGCAGCATATTGGGTAGTTTCTAAAATGGGTTTTAAATTGGATGCCCTGAGTGGGTTAACTAGATTTATTAAAACACAATTAGGACTTCTTTTTAAAGGGCAGGAATATTATTTGAGGTGGATTTTTTAAGAAGAAAAAATGCTGTGTTTAGTTTTTAGTCATTAATATTTGATAAAATATATTGCAAAGTATATTATTAGACTTGAATGTTGCTAGGATGCCTGCTAGCTCTCAGGGAATTTATTCTTTTTCTTTCACAGTTTTTATAACCTCATCTTTATCAATTCTTATCTATCCCATTTAGAAGTATGTTTAAAGCAAATTGAATAAAGAATTATGATCTAGAAATTTTAATTTGTCATTGATGTAAATTGATTAAAACTAAGTAACCTCAGCACACACACTGCTGTGTTTATATTATATTAGCCTGCTTCCATTCTCTTTAAAAGATAAGCTTGTATTCACCTACTAACTTTTTAAATGTGTGACAGGAAAGCATTAGCAAGGATGTTTTTATTTCTGTAATTGTATATATTATAACAATAGGATGTAGTGTGAGTTCTCATTTTGTATTTTTCATCACTCAGGCCGTAGTCCATTAGGCATTGCTTAAACTTAAACAACATGGATTTAAATTTGAAGATGAGTTATCACAGCTGTGTTATAATATGTAAACATAAACTATATATATACTAATCTAATTCTAGATTTGTGATATTTTTCTCATTCATATTCACAGTAACCATTAACTAAAAAATATATTTAAAAAAAGAGGTATTTGCTCCTATGAACTAACTTCCCCCCCCCCCCCCCCCCGTTTCTCCTTCCAGATTTACTATTTTATTGTATAGAGGAATCTAATGTTATTTCAATAACATATTTTGTTTAAAAATTCACTGCTTGTGTTTTGTTTCTGATTTTAAATATTTGATGTTTACTTCTGCAAAATGCGAGCACTCCTATTCATAGCCAGCCATAGGCAGTACTGAAATTTATTATGTGGAGCATTCACCAGTCTGTTGCAAACAAAACTATAGAAGAAAAAAAACTCACAAACTTATCTTCCTCTTATTGGAATGGAACTTGGTGAAGAGAGAAAAAAAAAGAGAACTAAATTATTGTGAAAAATAATTTCACACAAAAAATAGGTGTTAAGACACATACAAATTAATTCACCACTGTTGCTTAATTGAAATGTATTTATTCAACTATTATTATTCTCTACATGAATTTACATGTATATAAGAAATATAAAAAAAATATGTACTTGGGTTTTAAAAGAAATAACCCAGTGTAAATACCAATGATATATTTTCACATTTTCTTTATTGATTAATTTAAATGAGATAAGGGGAGAAAAAGAATAAAATAAAACAAAGATTTCATTTGTATAATTAGTTGAGGGAGAATGAATAGATTTACACAATTCAATTATAAATTACAATAAAACAATTTGATATCACAGCCACCTTCTGACAACAACGTTGTAACATGCATGTGTATCAACATCCAGAGATGAAACAAAAACAATAAAATCAAAGTAATATTTATAGTAAGAGCAGTGTTGCAGGTCAGTAGGAGACTATTTCACTGCAAAAAGACTAGTTTCTTACACACATACCAAGTACTGCAAGTGGACCAAGAAAATTACAGGTACACACATTTTTACTCAACAATACATACTGAGAGTAAGGCAGTTACCAATAAATTTATGTGTACAAAGAATATGATTACAACTAATAAAAGGTTTTTAAAAGTAACTATAAGATACATTATAATTAAATAGGTTTAAAATGTTTATCTATTTTACTATAAAAAAATTAATTAATACAATACACAATTTTTCTTCTTTTTCTCAATATCTGAGGATAAATATATCTTTACAATAATAAACATTAAAAAATACAATAGGTTAGGCTAGGATTTAATTCTACATCAACTCCAAAGCCTTGGCTTAATTGGAGCATTTAGTTTATAACAACATATATTGCTTGAGTTTGCAATTGATAAGGGAGTTGGACTGTAAATTACAGTGGAATACACCTAATTTAATGCTAGTAATAAGACCGAAATTTTTAGCAGTGACTGGCATTAGCCAAATGTTATACTTTTATTTTGTCTTTTAATTAAAGCTTATCTATACTGTTTTATTTAAACACATTGTTTGTAACTTTTATGAAAAAAAACACTTGTAGCTATTTTCCCATTCTCTCTGAGCTCTACAAAGATTTCATATTAAAGTTCTAAATTTTATTTGTTTCTGAACAAAAAACCTCACATTTTTAATATTGCTATTAAGATGATAAGAGAAATATTTAGGTATTTAACAGGCATTTTACACCTTAAAGAAAATTATAACATCAACAAACTTAGATTGTTAACAATGTGGTTTTGAAATCTTCAAATGACAAACGCTGGCCTTGGCTTCTGTCGAATATTTGAAGAATGTCTAGGAAATCCTGATGGGATAAGGCATATCCAAGCATTGTCAATGACTTTCTTAGCTCTGTCTCTTCGATGAATCCATTGTGATTGTGATCAAAGAATTTGAATGATCCACGTAATGTTTTGAATTTTTTTAGCAGCTGATCGAGAAAAAAATTTTGAGTAAATTATATAAATATTTTATTAAAATTTGTTGATTGTACTTATGAATGGTATATAAAAAAACATTAAATATTAAAACAATACTTATTCTAAAAATTCAAAGCTGGTAATTGAAAATTTGAATAAATCCCCTTTAGTAAAGATATTATATCATTCTTCAAAAGTCAGCAAGTTAACAAGTTACTGATACCGTACCTATATAATTAATTATTTATAATTTTGAACATGATCTGAAATACAATACGTACCAATCCTTTAAGCTCACATAAAAAGTCATGTACTGTGAGTGCCATGGAAGTGGGACCAGCCTAATTATAATTAATAAATTACAATAAATTTACTTTAAATTGGTGGATAAATATAGTAAAATTGATGGAAATGGATTCTGTCTCAATTACATAAATTATATCTACGTTTGATATTTTTAAAAAGGCTAGAAAAATACAAAGACTTAAAACCATTTTTCTTTCTTAGGGAAAAATTTTAAAGGTGAGTAAATACATTTTGAAAAAAAAATCATTAAAAAATGAAAATCACAAGGAAATTAAACGAATTAAAAAAGCAAGTGCTGATGAGAGGAAATTGATAGTGTAATAGTCAAGATGAAAGAAATCGCCATGGTTGCACATAATGAAAAACCTCAAAGGTCAAATAATTTATAAACTGGAGTAGTGCAGATATTCAAAGAAATAGAAAGTTTAGGCAACCACATGATTCTTAGTGCAAGCCAGCTATCCTTAAAATGTCCGGTGCTTAAAATATGATCCCTTAAAAAATAATTTCAAGAAATCATTATGTTTACCTTCTGATGAAGACGTTTTGTGTGTATGTTAAAAACACAAGGGCTGACTTCAGGACTCTGCGACAGTTTCTTCACTGCATGAAGGAAGGAAAGATAATGGAACCAGCCATTACCATAGATATCGAAATAGTTGCACAGCTCATCCCTTTCTGAAGATGTCAGTGAGAACTTCATTTTGTAGGCGACATCCTGAAAAAGAATTAATTAGGTTTTTACATTCTTTGAGCTCACTAACTTACTGATGTACTCAAAATGCTTTACAGTATTGTATTCACTAACTTACTGATGTACTCAAAATGCTTTACAATATTGTATTCACTAACTTACTGATGTACTCAAAATGCTTTACAATATTGTATTCACTAAATTACTGATGTACTCAAAATGCTTTATAATATTTTATAAGTATTGTGAAAAAAAGCATAAGTTGGAAACAAAAGTCTTACTTTCATATCATCAACTGCTATGGATGAATAGCCATCACGATCAAGGCTAAGAAAGATGGAATATAGTACATCCCAACGGGCCATCACCTTCAAAATAAAGTTAAAAATCATTAAATTAAAACCAATGAAAATGATAAAAGAAGCCATGCAGGAAAAGTAAATCTTACATCAAATGGCACACATTTCAATAAATTTATATAATTTTGATGTCAAATCATATCTAACTACAGTTATTAAAGAATTTTTATGAAATGCAAAATAATTTTTCAATCTATTCAGGATTCAAATGTATTTATCCATAAATATTCAAATTTAGGACATATTTAATTATTAGCTTAATTTTCTTTGGTACTTGAAAATATTTTTCTTGACAATTTATTGTACACTCACATCTTCTTTAACTTTTTTAATGAGTTCTGTTAACCTCCTCTCTTTGGCACTGCCAGTAACAACCTGTGGCTGTGGCACTGTTGTGATCGTAGGAACTGTCTTCTGTCTGTCTGATGTTCCAACTGTTGCCTTCTGGGACAATCTTGAGGGACATTGTTTTTCTGTGGTGGAAAATAAACAGTCATTTCAATATTAATAAGTTTCATATGAAAGCAATTCTTACATAACCATTAGAGAACTAGGAAGCCTGCATGGAGAAAAAATGTCACTCTAAATATTAGGTTACTCATTAGGTAAATTTTAAAAAAATATTTTAAATAAATATAATAAAATAATATACAATTATTATAAATATATATCTCCATTCAATAGAATTGAAATGGTGGAAAGGAATGTCTAAGGAGAGATAATATAACCCCCTCAAGAAATGGAGTGCTACAAAGTTTTATATAAAAACAATTTTTTCTCACCTGCTGTCTCTTGTTTTTGGTGACCACTGGTAAATGTTTTCACTAAGGTTGCATAGTTCAAGGTATTGTCTGCTGCTGTCTCCAAAGTGGCCCATAGATAATCCAAGTCACTAACACTCAAAGTGATGCCACAACTAAGATAAATCAGACAAGATTCACAGGTAACTTAAAATAAATTCTTTTGTAAATGTATTTCAGCTTATCATGTATATTAAGGACTTGAATGTATATTGTGATTGCTTGTTGTTTGGAGAGTATTTGGGTAGATGTTGTAATTAAATGTTTGATATTTTGTGACTATTGCACCAAAGGGAAATGACCTAGTATTGGTGTGTAGTGTTTTTCTTGGAATAATGGCAGTTGAGATTTAGTTAATAAAGATACTGTATTTTAACCTTAGTAATCAATGGTTTGTGAAGTGAATATAATTAACCCCTAGACAGAACGAAGCCATCAAACCTTTGGGAAGAATCGGTTAGTAGCAATGTGCTACCTTTTTTGTCATCTTTACTCTTCCATTCAAAATAATTAGTTTGTTCACTCAATCTAAACTTACAGTTTAATTAGGGCACCAAACTGCCATTTGCTCATGTAGCCACACCTTTTCCTATCCATGTCTTGAAAATTCTTTGGAAAATATAAGAAATGAATAATTTTGAGGAACAAAAGTTCTGCCTATCTAAAAAAAGTTTAATTTCTGACAAATCACTTAATATTAAAATTAATTTTGTTTTGAGATACCACCAACATATTTTGGGAATAAAACTTTTGTTTACACGATTCATCTTAAAATGAAAATACAGGCAGCAGTTTTAATATTGTTTTCTTAAATGCAATAATTCTTTGATTTGTTATTCTATAATCAGTGCAAGTATGAAGTCAAATTAATCTTTGAGTTACATTTAGAAGTATCTACCTTATCAAACACATGGAACCTGTTAGTGAAAAGCTTTGTAAGTTCTTTCTTTATCTGAAAAAAAATTTTTTTTCATTACTAATGATCGAAAACCAATTTACTAGCTAAACTGAAAAAAAAACCTGACAATTTTAATGCGTTGTTACTAAATAAAATCAAGTGTTCATTTGAGGTGTGCATAGCAATCAGGTAAACTTTTTTTTTTCAAACCTCTGTTACTCGACTGTTGGACGCTAAATTCTTCTCAGCAGAAGGCGCCATCCAGGTCTTTGCTTTCTCTTGTAGACGGAGAACTGGAGTAGCAGGTGTCATATCCCCTAGTTGATATTTCTGAGTGATAAAGTGACCATCTTTGTTTCGATTCCAATGTCCTGGCCTGAAAAGTGATATGTTTTATTTCAAACAGGCTTATGTTTAAAACATGTCATGCTGTCAAAACACAAATCTACTATGAAATATAATTCAGGTTTGTTTTTATCTTCAACTGACAAGAGGGAATGAATAATAATTTTGTTCTCCATATGTAAATTAGCCAGTTTGAAAGGGAGAGCTAAAACTATACTATTTAGGATTAATTTCTTAATTTAAAAAAAAAAAAGATTGTTTGGCATGAGTCAAAGAATTAAATAAAACAATTTCATAATCAAATGTATCTACTTACTCTGAGTTGAAAATGTCAAGAAATGTACGGTAGTTAATCTGAGGGCTACCATTGCTGGACTTCTCACTTAGTCGCTGAATTAATTCATCAAACTGCAGGTCTGACATTTTTATCTTCAGAACTGAATTGACAGCGCTACGAAGTTCTTGTGCATTCACTACACCTGTGTTGTTTTTATCTTTCTGCCTATTAGGCACATATAAGGTTTAGAGCCAAAAAGTATTTTTAAACTAACTGTTAAATATCATGGGTTAAGAAAATAAGATAACTGAAATTAAAATGTATTCACCCCCAAAGATATATTTATAGGCCCTATACATTTTTTTAAAAAGCTAATTATTTAATATTTTTCTATGAATACTTTTGTTTACTCAAGCTATAACAAAGAGATTGCTTTCATAAACATGGTTAAGAGTGATTCTCTGTCAACAAAATTTTGCAAAGATTTCAGGCAGTGATTGAGGTTTAATTTATAATAATTTGATGCAATTAAACAGGGATCATTTCCCCTTTCACTTAAAAAAAAGCATACAAATCATAGTTAAAGGAAAAAGAGATCTAGTTTCAATGACATTACTCATTTGATTCTAATCGCTTTACTTTTATCATCTATTTTTTATTACATATTACAATAGAGACCGACCGAAAGCGATTTTCTGATTTCGGACAAAACCGAAAATAGGCTGAAAGTTTAAAAATGACTTTCGGATGAAATAAAGATCTAATATAGGGGTCTCAAACTCGCGGCCCGCGAGCCATTTGTGACCCGCAAGGCAATATTTTGCTGCCCGCTACATGACAGCAAAGTTTAGTGTTAATGCGCGGCGCGTTTTCCCCATTCTCATATCTGTAACGTGACTCTCCGCGACGGTTTCAGTCGAATCTCACTGACTAGTCTAATTCTGATTCTATATATTTTTGTATGATGATTATAATGGTAAGAGCCGTTTTAAAATTGGAAAAGTTTTTATTTTATAGCTTTTTATGAGACAAACATGGCAAAGAGTGCGGCTTTGAGAAAAGGTTTTAAAAGTAAGTTGGTGGGTAATGCACAACCAAAATTATGTAAATTCTAGCAATCTGATACATTATCAAAGGATCCATATCAAAATTTCCGCTAGTATTTATGAGTGAGGGAAATTCCGAGCCTGTCAGCTTGGTCACTTTCAAAATCATCATCTTCTTATGCCATTTTACCCAGTCTGGGGCAAAGTCCATCCACAAGAATTCTCCATTCATCATGGTCCTGTGCTTTCCTTTCCAGTTGTTTCCAGGTGAATCCCATATTTTGCGTGTCTGCCTCTAGCTTGCGTCTCCATGTATTCTTTGGCCTTCCTCTTTTTCTTTTTCCCTGTCGATTCCATGTTTGGATTTGTCTGGTGATGCTATCTCAGGGGTTTTCGGAGAGTATGTCCTATCCATCTCCAGCTTTTCTTTAAGATGTCTTCCTTGATGGGCACCTGGTGAGTCCTTTCTAGTATATCTTTGTTGGTGATAATATTTGGCCATTTGATATTCAGGATCTTTCTAAGGCATGTGTTTATGAAGGTCTGTACTTTCTGTGTAATGCTGGCTGTTGTTTTCCAAGTTTCTGCTCCATATAGTAGGACTGTCTTTTAAAATAGGGTTAGTCAAAAAGGCCTTTACTACAATAAAAAGTTAAAATTCATTCTACCTACTTCAGTTGCTTCATTCGCATCAATAATTCATAAATATGGCCTGCTCCTGCCTACAGCTTGACACGTTTTAGCTTTTAAAGCCTTCATGGAGAAGGATGGGGTGGTTTTTCCTGTACTAAGTGATCCCAAATGGCTCATGGACTTGGTTTTTTTTGTTGACATTACACAGGAGCTGAATGTACTCAACAAGAAGTTACAAGACCAGGGGTAGCTTGACAGTGTTGCCTGTGACAATGTCAGGGCATTCTGCACAAAACTTGTGTTATGGTTCTTAGAGAAACCTCTTCCATTTCCCAACATGCAAAGTACTCATGGACTCAGGTACACCATTTATTAGTAACTTAGTAGTAAGTATACTGATGCCATTGCAAAGCTACAGAAAGAATTTAATCATATTTTTTAGACTTCAAAACACAGACAGTCACTTTTCAGCTTTTTGCTGACTCTTTGTCCTTTAATGTGCAAGATGCCCCGAGCGGGGAGCTGAATGGAAAAACAGACAAGCATGGAAATTTTATTGCATTGCCCTCCACCTACCCTGAAATTTTTAGGTTGTTCAAGTGGATCATATGACTTTTTGGGAGTACCTATCTGTGTGAAAAGCTCTTTTCCACTATGCACTTTAACAAGTCAAAGTTCAGGGCCAAACTTACTGATGAGCATCTTCAAGCTATACCCTACTGAGGCTCTCTGTTTGTTCCTCACCCTAGCCAAAGTTGCTCAGCTGTGTAAAAAGAAGCGCTGCCAGGTCTCTGGCAACAGTGAGTAGGTGGAAGAAAGTGAATCCTAGTTCTTGAGATCCCTTAATGTTTTTATTTGTTATTTATAAAGGTTAAGCAGATTGTAACAGTTGTACTTCAATGAATTTGTCATCGCTTTTTTGTGGAATATTTGATGCGGCCCAGTCTCACTCAGACTCTACCTCCAGGGCTCCCCTGATGATTGGAGTTTGAGACCCTTGATCTAATGAATACTTTGGATTTTACCATTTTAATTTAAAAATAATTTAAATTGATTTACAATTTTTTAAAATTAGAAAGGTAGGAGAAAATTTGGCAAAAAAATAAGGTGGGGGGGGGGGGTATGAGAAACCTTTGACCAACAATATCTGTAGGGTGTGTCTGAACCAACCTGTAACGCATTTTATTTTTATAATATACCGATTCTTTGTCTAAAATAAAATTAATGCAAAATAGACTCTTGAGTGCACTTTGCTTTTATAATATAATTACAACCTAGAACATATACCTACAATAATTATTGTGGCTCTAATAGAGCCAATTGCCACCTAAATATATGTTACTAAGGCTATAAAAATATCACCACAATGTTTTGCTGTTTTCGTAATACTAATGCTTTGTGTTTTCATTAATAGCTTGCAATATATCACTGTATTAATATTTAACCTAGTAACAACACACTAGTCTTTCCGTGCTGGTGACGTAATTATTTTGTTCGGAGACCAACCTCCCTCACCCCCATTGGTGGTGAAATACATTTTTTAAAAACGGGTTTCTTAAAATTGTTGTTCTGATCATGGGCCTCGACGTAGAGTTGCAAAAGACACCTAAATTGGTCGCCTATATCACAAAAAGTACACAGGTCTGCAGTAGCCCTACTCCATAATTATAATACGAACCCGTGATACATGCACACTTGTGTTATTTCGTCCATAACAATGTTTATGGGCATGATAATGATGAATTTCAAGAAATGAATGGTTTGAAAAGGCCTAAGTTTGCTTTTTAACATTAAAAAAAATAATTTTTTTTAAAAATAAATTTGGAAATTTTACCATTCCAATGATTATGCAATATTATTCACCTTTGCCTATGACAACATTGATGAGCATGATAATGATAAATCAAAATGAATACCAAAAATGAAGGAATTGAATAAACCTAGGGTTCCAAATTTTATTTTTGAAACAAAACAGACAGACCGTCTGACTTCTGGTAATGACCGAAAACCTCAGTAACTTTCCGCCGGATGGTCAAAAGTTAAAATCAATTTCGGCCAAAACCGAAAATAAACAGAAAGTTAACTTTTCTCTTTTGGTCAAAACCAAAATTAAGCCGAAAGTTAACTTTTCAGTTTTGGTCGAAACCGAAACTAGGCCAAAAGTGATAAAATGGCCACTTTCGGTGCCGAAACCGAAATTCGGTCAGTCTCTTTATTTCAATATTACCCCATTCTAGTATGAAAGCTAGGTTAACTTAACCCTTACTTCAGAAGCCCAAGTAACTTGAGATAATCAGCATGGAAATAGTTGGACACGTCTTTCTCCATCTCTTCAGCTCTTAAAATCTCCTCTGTCTCGAAACGTCTGAAACTTTTGTGTAAGCTATAAACAAAATACCATTTCAACAAAATAATAGATAATCAGCATGGAAATAGTTGGACACGTCTTTCTCCATCTCTTCAGCTCTTAAAATCTCCTCTGTCTCGAAACGTCTGAAACTTTTGTGTAAGCTATAAACAAAATACCATTTCAACAAAATAATTCTTTTTGTCAATTTTGAATTTGTTTTGTCAGACTTATTGATGCTATATGGCTTATTTTTATTTGTAATTTATTTAGTAAGACTTATTGATGTTATTATTTAGTCATACACTAAAGACGTGGACAAATTGATCACAATTTATAATTGACTCATAATGCACTATTAAATACAAAGTTTATGTTTTTATCCCTATCCAAAATTACTCACACCAAAATGTTGAGTTAACCTAACTAAGCTCATACTTTGTATGCTTATTTTTTTTAAGGGCCTTCTTGTTTGTTTATACTTCATAATAAACTAGATCAATATCTTGCTGATTTTGTGTACGGTACCCATGTCCAAAGTGTCCTTTTACCGGGACTGGTAATCTTATTTATTTTTTTTTCTTCAATATTGATATTTAGTTAAGTAAAATGGCAGATCTATTATGTTTAATTTGTAATAAGTTACCTTTCTCCATCTCTCAGCATAACTTTTGTCAGTATGCTAGAATCACCTCTTGATTGGAACTTGTTCAGAAACTGCTTGTAATTAATTAAGCCTGATAGGTAAAATGAAAGACAGTTTATTATTCGATATAAATATAACTTATTTTGAGGAACAAAATATAAATAAAATTAATTGAACCCCTTAACATTCTGATAGTAGATGAATTTTATTGCTAAGGACAATGTGTGTCCACCATAGTTATTTAGTAAGCTACACTTCTATTTCTGTTATTTTTTTTAATCTAAAAGAACTTTTAAAAATAAAAGGTGTTTACTGTTACAAAAAACCAAAATACACTTCTTCTTTTTCTGTGTTTTATTTTTAAAACAATTATTTATTTATCACTGAAAAGAAAAAAAGAAAAATAGAAAAATGTTGAACTTTTATAGCAGTGGAAATGATTCAAATAATATAATCCCTTTTAATGAAAATCAGGTCTTCTGTTATGAATTCTGAAATAACTGAGAATTTAAACCATCCTCAATATTAACTAACCTTGAACTACACTGATCCCTGCCCTGGCCAAAAATGCATCAAGGTCAATGGCAGCAATTTCAAAGCCGAATTCTTTAAGAACTCTCCTAAAATCAATTCTGGCTATGTAGCCATCATTCATAAAGTCGAATAATCTAAAAGCTGAATGGAGGTTGCGGAAAGTCTCTTCAAACTAGAAAAAATAAAAACGTTATTCTTTTGAAACTTTCAACGCTTATCAAAACTTACTTGGCAAATAATATCTACAACTTTTAAAAAGAAAGAAAACAATGATTTTTTAAAGTGAAAGGAAAAAGAGAATATATAGAAATGTATATAATCTATTTGACAATGCAATGAAATGTTTCTTTTAATATCAAGTTTATTTTAAAAATACCTGCATACAACAACCTCATATCTTATTATATTTTTTAATCATGAAGTATTTGTCAAACATTTCTAGAACATTTTTAATAGAAATTCTAAATTTTTTTGAAAAAGAGACACCCAAAGCAAATTATGAAATACCATTTTAATGTTTAACATTGTTAACAAGCTAATAACATTAATCCAAACATTGTTTAAAATTGTAGGTTCTGATTTTTTTCTATCACCAGGTCCAAACCTAATTTTGTTTCTTGAAGTAATCAGTATTAATAAGTTCCAAATAAAGAAAGAAAGTTCATTTTAAAACTAGAAAAATTTCATACATTTTAAAAAATGTTTAAATCTTCAATAGAAAGTGCACTTAATTTATATGGAAATAGTGAAAGAGATTTTTTTGGAAAACACAATCAACAAACGTGCAGTAAAACAAGGACTTTTAGTATCTAATGACTCAAAAAAGAAATAAAATCAGTGTTCCATCAGTGAAGCAAAGTACTCTGAAATGCTCTTTGTTTTGTTTTATAAGAGCTTTTGTGATTTTTTGATGCAATAAAATATGTTGAAGAAAACCTAATGAAGGACAAAACATGTCTTCTTTTTATTTAAGAAAAATACTAATTTCCATGTAATTTGCAGTCCTCCATATTTATTAAAATATATCAAATAATTTTTTTTTTTTTTTAAATGTCGAGGGCATCTATAAAAAAATAAAAAACAATTCATGTGAGATGTTTCAAAATTGAAACCAAGATTTCATTTTTGTAAAAAAACATTACTCAGCCTATCAACAACTTGCAAATACTTTTTTAAAGCTTCTTCTGGAATATATTGTTCTAAAACTAGGTGATATGTGAGGTAACACTTTGTAATCCTTACACATATTATTATTTGATAGCTCTTTAAAAGATGATTTTAAAAGTTTTTTTGTTAGAGGGATCGAAATGTATTATATTCTATGTGAAGGCAAATTACAAATACTTTATTTATCAATAAATAAGGGAAACTATACAAAATGATAATGAGTTATCAATCCACCAATATAACCTGTCATCTCTACCTGCTAAAAATATCTGAACATAAAAATAAAAGACAATTAAAAAAAAAAAAAGAGTAATTAAAATAAAGTGATTGCATCTTTTTTTCTTCTTTTTATTTTATACAAATATAAATTGAGTCTTACTCATGTAGAATTTATGTAAATGCTTGTAAGAGCACTGCTACACATTATTTTTTCATTGTGGTGACGGTGATAAAGTTAAATTCACGAATAGTTCTTGAGTGCAACATTTATTTTCAATGTCTTTAACTTTATTCAAACTGTAAATGTAATGCCGAAAATTGCAATAAATTTGCTCTTTTAGTTTTGAAGATTTATGCAGATTTCAAGGAAGACTATCATTGGAGAGCTAAATAAAATATTGGAAGGAAATTATTAATTCGTTAATTTTAAAAAAATGTTAACTTGTAGCACTCAAGGGGCATTATGTTGTGTAAAATATCTTGAGATAATCATGACAAATAAATTGATCTACTTTTAAAAGCATGTTGGAAAAAAAATCTTAAAAGGTGTAAAAAAAAAAATGACCCTAATCTATTATTATGCTTTGCTGCAGATTAAATGTGAATTTTTTCAATACAATTCATTTGATCTATTATTAATGTTACCCATATAGACCCATGTCAACCAAAAAATACAAAGTGATATAAAAATTTCAGTGGAAAATACTATTGTATCTTTACCCATTTATACTGCTTATTTATACAGTGATTATTCTGCATGATGATGCAATAATCATATTCATAACACATGTCTATCCAAGATGTATTTTTTTTAAAAATGTATGCAACTTGAAAAAATACCTTAAATTTTTCTATTAATAGCACTTTGTCATGATTAATCAAAAGAAATGTAAAAAAAAAATGCACATATAAAAAATATATTTTACGATATGGTAAATGGTTATTAACAGTCACCTGTATTTGAGAGGCATCACTGGCCTGGCAGATGAGGAAGGAAAAGAGGCAAAAGGAAGAGAAATCATTCAGGCATGAAATAAAGAGAGTTATATAAAAATTATTTAAAGGGAAGTAATGAGGAATCAGGGTAAATCAAGCTTGTTTCATCAGAAAGGGTAAATCAGCCAAGCTTACATCAGCAGCAGGTTAAACTGTTATAAACATATATGTCATGACTAATATAAATTTATAAGTCATCAAAAACATAAGTTGCATATAAAATATTAGAATTAAACATGTACAGAATTATTTTTAAAACTATAAAATATGTCAGGAATTCTACAGTTTCAGAAAACATATTTCATCTTGAATAACTGTATAAAACATCAAACTTATAAATCAAATCATGTGCTTTCATTCATTAAACCAAGACATTCTGAAATAAAAAAAATTAACCATCCAATTTCTTACCTTAAAATGCAAATGATCTATGACATCATGAAACTGAGGTGGAGATTTTTTAGCCTGTATCAAGGAACGAACATGAGACGATAACTTGGTGTCATCAATCAACTGTTCTTCCCTCTTCTCCGTTGTAGTTCTCGTTGTGCGTTTTGTTGTTGTGGTCTCTGTTTCCTCAGTGGTCGTGGTCACTTCTGTTGTAACCTTTTGTTTATCAGAGGTTTTACCACATTTGTTTTCATGCCCATCTCCAAGAATTTCTGCTCGATTTCCATTGATCACTACCGTGTCTACTTTGGACATGGAAACTGATGCATTTTGCCTGTTTGTGGTTGACATCTGCAACTGTTTCAAAACATACATGAATTTAGATTAGTTAGATTAAGACAGTTATTTATATTACATCAACACAAAAGTGTATATTTAAATGAAGATAAGTGCTTTAAATTTGAAAAAAACTTTGTTTTCAATTTCCAAGACAGGTTAAATTAGTGAATCAAGTAACACATTGATTCTTGTGTTTGATAGGTCTTCACAATAATAAATTCCTGTACCAAAACATACTTAAGCTTCAGTGCAGCCAATCAAACTGATCCAGACTTTGAAATGAAATTTGGCATATCTCTTTCTTGTAATAACTCACAATTTTCAGTTTTAACAAATATACCTGAGTTTTGCAACGCCTTTGTGTAGATTCTTTCCCTTTGTCTGACCGCCTTGGTGACCCAGCACTTTTGATGGCTCTAGGATCTGATAGAGGGAAACCATTTTGGCTTAGGTTGAGAGTTTTGTAAAATTTCTTGATGGGAACAGAGCCATTGTTGTCTGGATCAAATCTAATGGGAAATAAAAATATTTGACAAGATGATTTGTTGAGTTTATTTTAGTGAATGAACAGATACAAATATAATATATCTTACATACACCAGATAAAGTAAATCTTACTTTGACCAGACGCAGTATTGATACATATTACATACACCAGGTACAGTAATAATATATTATTATCTCAAATAGACCATTTATAGTATTGATATGAATTATTGATTAGACTTGACACAGTTACAATCTGTGACCTACTTATTCCAAATGTGTTGGAACTCTTGATCTGTAAGTCTGAGCCCAACAACAGCCAAAGCTTCTCTGAGTTGCGGCATTATGACCCTTCCGTCATTAAGAAAGCAGGACTCTGGGAGGATATCACGAACATTTACTTCCCTGGAAAGAAAAAAAACAAAAACATCTCTGCATATACTAATCATCTCAGTGAACTTTTAAAAATAAAATTAGAGCAGAGACAGGCATTGCCAACTTTTAATTTGAGTGGTTATCCAAACTATGTGTCATCAGATATCACACTATTTTATATGACTCTGATTTTAGAAATAGTAGAACAAGGTATGTTCAAGCTTGAATAGAAAGACAAAACAAGACAAGAAAACTTCCAACAATAACAATGGTGAACATCTATGTTTTCTTTAAAACTAGTTTCTATTTGTTGTTGTTTTTTCAATAGTCCTGTCAGCTAAGGGAAGTTTGTAGCTGAAACATTCTTCTTTTATGGTCCTGCCTTTCTATTCAAGCTTCCACATACCTTGTTCTACTATTTTCTTCACACAGCTTGAAGACAGTCCTTTATTTTTAATCTGATTTTTAGATCTGACTTTTTTAGTAAGTTTGAAGGTCAACATTGTTGCATTTCACTGAGATGCAAATGTTGCTGCACAGTTAACTTGAGACATTATTTTTCACTACTAAACTATTTACTACATTAGCTTTGGTTGATAAAAATACCTGGTTACAAAACCTAAGTATTATCAATTCTGCTAGTGTTATAAAGAAATGTAACTAACCCTTTCTGGAGCCTTTTACGAAATATAACAAATGCATGAGGTGCAGTTGTAAAAGGATACCACTCAAACAAGTCCTGGTTTTTCAAGTTTTCTTCTAGATTATGTTGCTTTTGTTGTCTGCGAGCAAGTTCTGCCACTTGGTGCATGGCAACAACCTGTTCAAAAGAATATTAGCAAGAAAAAGAGTTATAAAACAATTACGAACTAATATCGGTCTACTCTTACTTTCTTTCTCCCCCCTCCCCATATTTTTTTAAATTAAAAAAATGTTTTTAAAAAATGCTGACACAATACTACAGACTTACGGGGTTATCCTGGAACCGCACTATAAATTCATCAAAGCTGATGCATGATCTCCAATGAAGGTTAATTCTGTGGATAGTTAAGCCAGATAAAGGTTCACTTAACAAATAAACAAATTTTGCCAAAAAACATTAACAAGTTGCTTAAGAAATGATGTATAATTCTCTTTAGTTATTCGTTACTTACGTTTTAAGAAATGAGTCAAACTGATCCCTAGTCACATGACCTACAAGCGTTTTTATGATTAGGAACAGACCTTCTCTGTGGGTAAAATAGATAAAAAAAGAAGATGATTGAATGTCACACAAAGAGGCTAGTTTTCTGTCTATAATAAATAGTTCATAGCCTGTTATTAAAAATCATACAATTCAAAGGCTGTCTACAGTTAAACATTTCCCACTGTCTTTAATAGTGTCTGGTGACTGGATAAAAAGGAATAATTCAAGCGTAACATTTGCTGCTCTGATGAACCCTGACACTCTTACACTTACTCTAGAACATTTGAAACTTTAAGTTTTTAAGTCAGAAAATAATTTGTTTAAATCTGGCCTCATACAAAGGGTAACAATCAGCTCCATTGTAAAACCCATGAATACAAGGCATAAATAGAAAGATTTCAACCTCACAATGTGCTAATAGGGTGTATTTAAAGATTATTGATACCAGTACAATCATCAAATGCTTGAGACAAGGCAGTTGTGTTAAATTCCGTCTTTCAGTGTTATGACATTTAAGTTCATAAGTTGACGAAATGAACTTTACCTTGTAACTATGGAGTCCCCATAAGGATCCCTGGTCTTAAACAGCTGCCTCACACCTTCCAAACCCGTCGTCAGTTTATCTTTTACCTGCTCCACTAACTGCAGGAAGAAAACCCCCATTACTGAATTATCTATTTAATTTACATCCAGGTATTTTACTTTTATTCTGGGCTCTTTAAATTCATAGAGAAGACTCTGAACATGTTAAAGATGAGCTGTAGCCTATGATTAAAAGTTTGAAGAGAGCAACAAACTAAAAGATACTGACTGAGTAAACTGGTTGTAACAAAGAAGTTAGTGATGATATGGAATAGTCAGGGGTGGTGATATATTTTTACAAATGTAAAGAGAAAGAATAAAAAAAATCCAATGGTCTTACAGTTTTAAGTTTCTGTGTAATGCTATCTGCCCTTACTTTGATTTATATAATTTTTTTCTCAATTTCATTACACCTTGAAAACCCCAATAATAAACACATCTATATAATCAACACCTATGTTTGGTTTATATTGCGAAAGTTAAATTAACTTTAAAATTTAAACATATTTTGGGCTTGTGAAATTTTTAGTACAGTTTTAATAAATTTTGAGATATTTTCTGTCAAGCACAGTGACATTTAATCATCTGGATTACATAATATAACATTAATTTGTAATGGGGAGACATTTAACAAAAATTATAATTACATTTGCCTAGTGTATGCTATTTTAAAAAATTCTTTAAATATGTGCACACAAAAAATAGAAACCTATCTTTTCAAGATGGGTTATTTGCCAGCTATTGATCAATCAATGTAAGCTTGTACAGCTTGGGTAAACATGTCTGTCAAAGAAATTAGATCAGAACATGCCTGTCAAGATTTTGAGGATGTTCACACATCATCTCTTGCAGCCTAATTAGATTAATTTTTCATTTCGTTGACTTCACAATGTATTTCTATTCCATCCTCCCAATTTTTTTAATGTTAAATACACAAAAGTATTTTTTTACCCCCTCCCCCCCCTCCCCAATCATTATGAACATTCTATTAAAGATGAAAATAAATTTAAGCATATCACCAGGCAGCATGAATTGGATGTTGGCCATGAAAACTTTACTGCGCCATATTCAAATTGAGACGATTTCATTTTCCGAAAAGAAAATATTCTGCAAAACGCAGTAGCGTTATTTTTAAAGACATATGATATCATTTAGCGTAGTTATCGAGAATTATATCGAGAAATGGAACTTGCCATCTGATAAAGTTACTGGACAAACATGCACACTTAATAATAATCCCAATTAGTGCTGTCGTCCGGGAATTATATTTTGCGCACCTATTGAACACAAAGTAAAACCCAACACACCTAAATAATTATAATTTGTGACGTTTACAAACAAAAAAAGCGTGCTAGTGTAGGTTAAAGGCACATATAAAGTACTGCCTAGCATGACCTTATAAGGACATTTCAACACTACCACCATTGTACAAACATCAAGCTAAAAAAAAAAAATTGCAAATGGATTAATATTCAGAATGTGCTAACTGGAGTAGGAGTAATTTGAAAGGCCGATTCTAGGGCAGCAGACGTCACCTGGTATTGTTGCACATGTCACAATGATCTGATAGAGCAATGATCTGATAACTGGGATGGAATTCGACGAGATATGGCTGTACTGTGGACTGAACATCATAACTAATACAACACTATCTTTACATTCAAGTTTTACATTCCTATATCCCCTTCTTTTTCCCCGAGATACACAAAAAAAGCACATTTTTTTCGTTTACCAAAAAAAAAAAAGTGGTTCGTAAAGCTAACAGCGTGAATCCTAAGAATTAGATTATGTTTCATTCAATGATGTGATCCAAAAATAAAATAATAAGAGATCTAAATGCGAATACGCGGTAAGATATACTTGGTAGGCTTTCGTTTAGCAAAAAAATGAGCTGGGATGTTGGATATATGATATAGTTAACTGAAATGTATCCGGAAGAAGAGAAATTGTGAACCACTGTCAAGGACAGCTCTAATCCCACGCACATTAACATTAAAATCAACTTTAATTTCGTTTTCCCTAATTCCCTAAATGGTTTTTTCGTGGCAGGGAAGTTTGTAAAAAAAAAGTAGGCACGAGCGATAAGAAAGTCACGACCCTCAATGTGCAAATGTCGCCTGTCGTGATCCACAGAACTTTGATGATCTAAAAAGGCAAACAAACCAAGGTTTGTCGTTTTCAGTGACGCTGCGCCTCACAAGTCCGGGAGAAGACATAACAGGTTGGCGCAGAAATAGGACAACGTTAAAAAGTCTTCCCAAGAAGAAAACCTTCTCTAAAAGCCTGACGACGCAGTAGATAAAAAATGCCCTGTTAGCTGGATTTCTTAATTACACGAATAGAGTTTCTTAAATTAAGCACACAAAATCACTTGTTAAGGGCGCATAAAATCTTACCGACTTTTGTCGTCTACCCATAGGCGTAGAAAGGGTTGGTGGTTAGTGCTGACCGGAGCAGGCCAAGGCCTTTGGACACCACCCTCTCCGCCCACCCCTCCTACGTCAGTGCGTCTAACCAAAGAGAATAAAAGTCAGATAGGGCTGCTTTTGATTTGTGTCACTTGCCATCACTGTATGGGCTTGGACACTCCAGTCCACGACTGTATGGCTTGGACACTCCGGTACATTACTATATGGGCTTGGACACTCCAGTCCACCACTGTATGGGCTTGGACACTCCAGTCCACCACTGTATGGCTTGGACACTCCAGCCCATTACTGTATGGGCTTGGACACTCCAGTCATCACTGTATGGGCTTGGACACTCCAGTCCACCACTGTATGGCTTGGACATTCCAGTCCACCAATGTATGGCTTGGACACTCCAGTCCATTACTGTATGGGCTTGGATACTCCAGTCCACCACTGCATGGTATTGGGCACTTATGGACTTGGACACTCCAGTCCACCACTGTATGGCTTGGACACTCCAGTCCATTACTGTATGGGCTTGGACACTCCAGTCCACCACTGTATTTTTGGATACTCCAGTCCACCACTGTATGGCTTGGAAACTCCAGTCCACCACTGTATGGCTTGGACACTCCAGTCCATTACTGTATGGGCTTGGACACTCCAGTCCACCACTGTATTTTTGGATACTCCAGTCCACCACTGTATGGCTTGGACACGCCAGTCCAGCACTGTATTTTTGGACACGCCAGTCCACCACTGTATTTTTGGATACTCCGGTCCACCACTGTATTTTTGGATACTCCGGTCCACCACTAAATTTTTGGATACTCCGGTCCACCACTGTATTTTTGGATACTCCGGTCCACCACTGTATTTTTGGATACTCCGGTCCACCACTGTATGGCTTGGACACGCCAGTCCACCACTGTATTTTTGGATACTCCGGTCCACCACTGTATTTTTGGATACTCCGGTCCACCACTGTATTTTTTGATATTCCGGTCCACCACTGTATGGCTTGGACACGCCGGTCCACCACTGTATTTTTGGATACTCCGGTCCACCACTGTATGGCTTGGGCGCTCCAGTCCACCCTTGGATGTAGAAAGCTGTCACCAAAAAAAAAAATCACCATAACATCACCAACACATCACCATATTACCAGAATTCCCAGCAACGACTCACCAACACTTCTCAGCAACGACCCACCAACACTTCCCAGCAACGACTCACCAACACTTCCCAGCAACGATCCACCAACGACTCACCAACACTTCCCAGCAACGACTCACCAACACTTCCCAGCAACGACTCACCAACACTTCACCCCAAAGTCATCATAAAACGAACAGCTGGTCCACTGCTAGTCGCACAGAGTGAGATTTGATAAACGATTCTTAATGCTTCGGCTTAAATCGATACTGAAATCAATTACTTTGTAAAGCGACTGATAGACCTCCTGTGTTTAAATCTGAGTGGGTCTTCGTAAAGTTTCAAATGTCTTTAGCAGTTAGAAGGGAGAAGAGCAGGGACATAACTGTTTTGTCAAAATTCTCCAATTAAGTTATATCCCATATTAAATATGATTCACCCATTCCACTGTCCGCCCACCCCATTCGACTGTCCGCCCTCCACATTCCACTGTCCACCCACCACATTCCACTGTCCGCCCACCTCATTCCCCTGTCCGCCCCCCCCAACTCCACTCACAAAATTAAATGAAAAGACACCAACATACCGGTCTGAACAAGCTCCTGACTGCCTACTAGGTCAACGCTTTCTTCAAAATGGTGTAACTCGTGCGTGCTGGTGGGGAGTTGAACCCAACGTGAACAAAACCGTGATTAATTGCAGTCGAACCGTCAAGACAAGTTCAATTGATGACGATCTTACCGTCACTAAGTCTGGGCAAGTAGCCTAACCCACGACCTGAGTCCAAATTAACGACACACACACACACAAACACGCACACGGTCAGGGTTTAAAGGCGGAAACATTGCGTGTTCATTGTCCTCTAATTCCCGTGGCTGAAATGACGGGAAATTGTCTCGGGGACATTGTCAGAAAATCTTAAACGACATTCGTTGTTTGCTTGATCTTGAAACAAAAAAAAAAGAAGATTTGGAGACGAATAAAATTAAAAGTGCTTTGTTTTATTTTCATAATCATATCCATCGAGGCCAATCAGTCCGACGCTTCACTCTAGCCACCTTCCCTTTGAGTTGTTTCAAGCCCAAGTGATGTACCCGAAGGGGCGTATTCAATGTGGACAGGTGTCACCACGATCCCAATTATCCAGCGGTATCACACAAAGATGTTTAAAATCTTGACCCTTAACAAGATAAACACACAACAAAGTGTCAGCTGTCCAGTTGACTCACACAGAGCTGCCAAACTAAAGAACTTTTGACCTTACAATTAAGTTCGTTTCAAACATTTTCAAAACTCTTTTCTTGATAATTTTTTTATATTCTCCTATCTCCCCTTTTTATATTTTAAATCACATTTTGATTTAATAGAAATTTATTCACATTTTACTTGAGAAAAAAAAAATGTAAAAATGTATCTTAACATTAAAAAAAAAGTATTCACATATTGTTTATTTCATGACGCATTTTGGGCTTTTCATTTAAAAAAATTGAAACCAATTATCATGTTTCATTCGTTTTGGTTTTTAATCTGACATGGACGATCCTTCTAAACCAGTGGTTCTTAACCTTGTTGGAGGTACCGAGCCCCACCAGTTTAACATGCGCATTCACCAAACCCTTCTTAATAGGAAAAATAAAATATGATTTTTTTGTTCTGATTTTTTTTTTTTTTACCTCCGCCGAACCCCTGAGACTGACTCACCGAACCCCTGGGGTTCGATCGAACCCAGGTTAAGAACCACCTTACTTTGTGAACTCTTCTGTCTTTTCGATTAGAAACAACATCACCTAAAACTTAATTAACGTTAAAGAGATAGGAGAGGTACGCACCAGCGTCACTTGGGGGTGCGTAACACACACCGGGTGGTTCTCCCCCCCCCCTCAGAGGAGGTGACACCAAATGAAAAATTGTAAATTTGACCGAGCTCGCTGAAGTGGGTTTTTATAACATAAATCGGTTAAATAAAACAACAGGGTAACACCATGACAAAGTGCCACCAGTAAAGAATGTCCCCAAGACAGTTAGGGAATGAAATAGTAGAACAAGGTATGCTGAAGCTTGAATCAAAAGACAGGAGAATAAGATATGAACGTTTCGGCGTAGAGCCTGCTTTAGCGAAAATGACAAATGAAAATTCGATAAGAAAATATGGAAGTTGTTTCCATCGGAAAAGTAATATCCATCAAAAATTAATGACCAGAAAAATCTAGAAAACATTGAATCACAAGGGATTACAGTTGTTTGCATAAGTAAATAAATGGGCATATAAATTAGATGGGAATAACATCCTCACAAAAACAACATGCTAAAGAAATATATTTAAAGGTGAGTCGGAAAACTTTGATAGGCTTTAATGTAAGACGACTATGTTGGACACATAGATCAAATGATAAAGATCAGATCTGGTTAGGACAATGCCATGGTTACCGGATTGATCGACGGAAGTTTGGTCGAACGGAAATTTGATCGTGTGAACTGAAAATAAAATTCGATCAATTTTCCGTCAACGAAATTTCTTTCAAACAAATTTACAGGGTTTTAATTAACTAACAGTAGCCAATACAGGGTTTTGGGTAACTCACAGTAGCCAACACAGGGTTTTGGGTAACTAACAGTGGCCAACACAGGGTTTTGGGTAACTATCAGGAAAGCGCAACCCAACAGTTCAGCCTGACACCCGAGATAATTCGAGAAGAACCCAATCCCAATGTCCTGGCCTCAACTAACACAAAGTAAAGCAACACAAGTTTTGGACTGCTGGTCTTGTTTTAAATGTGATCCTTGACATAGTTTGAGAACTCAATGTAAGGTGAAGGATATTTCCTCAGGGTTAAATAAGGAGACACATTTATATCCCTGTGTTGTAAGCTTAAACGTGGGTAAAGCAGGGCTCATCCCGTCACTCACCCGGTGGCCAGTGGAGGATTCTTGAAGAGTCTGGGTTCAGTCCTGGTGTTGGCGTTCCGGTGATGGTGAGGTCAAGGTCAAGAGACTGTTGGGGAACAGCGCGGGCTTGGGAGGATGATCGGGGACGACCCCATTTTGCAGACCCAGTGCGGGGCCTTGTAATGGAGGTGGTCATCTTCACTCAAATCACTGAACACATAGGAGAGAAATGGGAAAAGGTTGGAAAATAATCAAACAGTAAGCCTACACAGAATTTGGTTCTCATATGATATATACTTAAATTAAATTATGGAAAAAAAAAGGGGCGGGGGGAGTCTAGTATAATACACAAGTTTAAAAATATTATAATACAAATGTAACTACTAAAAGAAATGATAAATTAGATTCGTATATTATAAAATAAAGATATAAAAAAGCAACAAAACAAAAAGCAAAAAAAACAACAAAAAAACATGGTATATATTATATACAATTATTTCATAGATTCTTTTTAAAATTTTGGTAAATCATACAAGAGACAATAGCATTCTTTGTTACAAGGGCCATTCGCTAACACATATTGGCCAGACTTTCGTAACGCTGACAGTGTGACAGTGCGAAAGAATCCTTTAATTTTATGCTCTAACATTGTCTCAGTGAGATTCTAGCATATTCTATACATTGACAGTAGGCGGCATTGCAAATGTCATTGGTAAAAATGACCTTTCTTAAGGCTCTCAATACAGCAGCCAACAATGGTCAACTGTATGAAGTCGGGTATGGGCCACTTTTCACGCCAGGGAATTTAAGTTGGTGTTTTCGCAGTGTCTCCCCCTTTTCAAACTCTCTTCCCCGTTTTAACACTCAATACCCCATGCTGACACACCCTCTTCACCTTATTAAAACTCAATACCCCATGCTGACACACCCTCTTCACCTTATTAAAACTCAATACCCCATGCTGACACACTCTCTTCACCTTATTAATACTCAATACCCCATGCTGACACTCTTCCTATTCCCCATGTCGACATTATATTCCCCTTGATTACACACTACATTCCCCATCTAATTACCTTTCTTCGCAATTTTTTCACAATATATTCCCATGCTGTCAAGCTCTCTATCAAACTCGCGGCCCGCGGGCCATTTGTGGCCCGCAAGACGACATTTGCGGCCCGCTATATAACAGTAAAGTTTAGTGTTAATGCGGCCCGCGCGTTTTCCCCATTCTCATATCTATAACGTGATTCTCCGCGATGGTCCAATCAAATCTCACCTGCTCGTCTAATTCTAATTTGTATTGTGTTTGGATAGACTTGGACGTTGATTATAAAGGTAAGAATCGTTTTAAAGTCGAACTAACCGTTTTTATTTTATTGCATGTTATGAGACAAAGTGGCCAAAAGTGCGTTTTTTGATAAAAGTTTAAAAAGTCAGTGGGTAATGCACAAACATAATTGCAAAAAGTGTCAATCGTAGCAATCTGACACAGTATCAAAGAATCTCTATTAAAATTGCCGCTAGTGAGTACGAGTGAGGAAAATTCAGAGCCTGTCAGCTTGGTCACTTTCAAAAGGGTTGGACAAAATGGATTTTTCTACTATAAAAAAAAATTAAAATTCATTCTACCTACAATAGCATCTTCCTTCGCATCAATAATTCATAAATATTTTCTGCTTCTAACTACTTTATGAACGCGTTCAGCCTTCAAAGCCTTCATGGAGAAGGATGGGGTAGTTGTTCCTGTACTTAGTGATCCCAAATGGCTCATGGACTTGGTTTTTTTTGTTGACATTACACAGGAGCTGAATGTACTCAACAAGAAGTTACAAGACCAGGGGTAGCTTGCCAGTGTTGTCTATGACAATGTCAGGGCATTTTGTACAAAACTTGTGTTATGGTACTTAGAGAAACCTCTGCCATTTCCCAACATGCAAAGTACTCATGGACTCGGGAACACCATTCAGTAGTAGTATACTGATTCCATTGCAAAGCTACAGGAAGAATTTGATCACATGTTTTTAGACTTCAAAACACACAGGGCAACTTTTTGCTGACCCTTTTTCATTTAATGTGGACGATGCCGGACCCCCCCCCCTTTTTTTTTTTAAATTAAAAAAACGCTTTAAATGGGAGCTAATTGATCTTCAGTGCAATGCTAAGTTCAGGGAGGTGAATGGAAAAACAGACAAGCATGGACAATTGATGAGAGCATTGTCCTCGACCTTTCCTGAGATTTCCAGGTTGTTTAAGCGGATCATGTGCCTTTTTTTAGGAGTACCTATCTGCGTGAAAGCGCTTTTCCACTATGCACTTTAACAAGTCAAAGTTCAGAGACAAACTTACTGATGAGCATCTTCAAGCTATACGGAGGGTTGCAGTTGGTTCTTCACTCAAGCCAACTGTTGGTCAGCTGTGTACAGACGCGTAGCGAGGGTGTTTGGCGCCCGGGGACAAGATACATTTTAAAGCGCCTCTTTTTCTTTTTTTTCAACTCTCAAATCCATTATTTTCATCAATTAAAATAATATCAAAGCACATTTTGGCGCCCCAAACTAGCTGGCGCCTGGGGACATCTGTTCCCCGCTGCCCCCCCACCCAATCGCTACTCCTCTGGCTGTGTAAGAAGAAGCGCTGCAAGATCTCTATCAACAAGGAGTGGGAGGAACAAAACGCAACAACAAAAAATTTTAACTTAAGAAATTTAGACCAATGGTTTCTCAACCTTCCAGAAAATAAGGGTGTGCATTTTGAACAACCAAACTGGCAACTGACATCCGAGCTAATTAAGACCAATTTTTATAACTAAACAGCCAACAGACTACAAAGATATCCTTCGGTATACCATAAAGCCAACATAAAATTATCCATAGGACAAGATAGGATACATGCCCTGCGACCCACAGCACAGGCCACAGCTTTTCCTTGTATAAATTACAGAGATATCAGTGCATACACTGAGAGTTATTTATTATGATCTTATGTAAAAATCAAAACCAAAATTACAAATAAACCAATTTTTTTAGATGAAGTGTTAAAGGTATAAAATTTAAATCATTATAACAGCACTGTGACCTATGACCTGGTCTCTAATATTATGTGATATTGTAAAGTATTTTCAAGGTGAGACTTGGGGCAGAAGAGAGACTGAAAGAGAGACTACTTGATCTGAGTTATTATTAATGTTTAATCAATGGCTGGAAAATAGTGAAGTCTTTATTCATTGATCCTTGCATTGGTGTATGTAATGGAGTCTCAGAAGAAAGGAACATAATAGCAGTAGGTAGGCAGTAGGCGTAGACTATGGTATGGGGTTTCAGTTCATTTGTGTAAGTCATCCAAGTTATTGATCAGTAACTACCTGGCAAAGTTTCTACTGAAAGTAATGTGTACTCTTATCAGCCTAAATTACACAGCAGTGACATGATTCAGGCAGCAGTGAAAGAATTATGGTGACACATTCACACAATAGTGTCATAACCATTGCTACACATTCACACAGCAGTGACAGATTTAGGGTGCAACATTCAAATAGCATTGAAAAAATTATGGAGAAACATTCATACAACAATGACAGCATTGTGGGGAGACATTCACAATATCGTGACAGAGATATGGTGACACAATCAAACATTAGCGAAAGTCATTGAAGCCATTTTTTTTTATTATAAAATAATTGCAGTCATTTTTTGTATATTTTAAATTCAAGCAAATTCCTCTTGCATGAAAAGGAGAAATATAATGTAAATATAAACACCATAAAATATATTTTAAAAAGGAAGAAAGAAAAATAACAGACACTTTCAAAAAAAGTGTTTTCTTTTCCTGGATTTGGATATTTACTATTTTTCCCTTTCTAGACCATTAAAAAAATAATAAACTAATAAAGAGATGACAGCAGTTCCAGTTAACAAAGAGATCAGCAATGTTAAAATGTCCTAATATTATTGATATTCTGACAAAGAAATTGTAACTTTTTTGTAAAGAAATTGGGATCGGGCAACTTTTCTCATTCCTTTCTTTTTTTAAAATGTTAAAATCTGGCTTTTCCATTGACACTGCCTTGATTAAATAATAAATATGTCACAGAGGCAAAGGAGATAAAACTCACAATGGAGAAATTCTCCACCAGCAAACTTCAGATTTTATTTATAAAAATTTGAGTCAATTAAAGGAAAGTTAATGATTATAATGATATGCAAGTTGAAAATAAAAATTCAATATATTTCATATTCATTTCCAACAAAATCCAATATTTTTATACTAATATAAAAATGCCATTATAAATAATTGTATATATATATATATCATAGAATATACGAGTAACATTTTGACACGCATTCTTGCTTATGATGGAAAATAGAGAAGTCTAAACTTTTGAAATGAAATATATAGAGGGTCAGAAAAAACCTGATAAAGGAAATAGCTAATGTTTCATTTAAGTAGCATTTGACAGCAAAGAAAACACAGAGAGAAAAATTTAGCTGATAGTTGATAGGAAATCATAAGCTTATTGAATTATTTAAGTGTCTCATAAAATTCAAACATCTAACAGTATGCATAAAAAAAATAAAATAGGCGGGAAATCAAAGATTATTATAATATGGTGAGGACTGCAAAAGTAAGGATGGGGGATAAGAGGCAGATATCATGAAAATAACAGTGGAAGTAAGATGTGGTTTTGCTTATACTTATTGCATAAAGATATTTGCAACTCTAGGCCTATAAGAAGAGAGACACAAATTAGTATGCTATGTTTGTTCTTTTGAATGATTCAGAAAGATGGTGGTCAGCAAAGAAAGATTGGAAAAGAGTTCAAACCTTCATGAATAGTTGAAAGTGTAGAATCCTTAACATCAGGAGATTCAACAAAAATTACAAACACAGTAGACAGGTCCAAGAGAAAACCCATGCCAAATATAATAAGTCAATCACAAGTGTTAAAATTCAGGGATCAAGAATATGGTGGAGACCCAAAAAAAGCTGGCAAAGAGAGGTGATCTAGGATGAAAATACATATTAGAAAGAGGAGCTAGAGAAGATAGCCAGAGACCTATCTTTGCCAGTGACCAGTGTTGTAAACTTTTATAAATTAATATGAATTTATGAATTTATTTTTACATTTTCAACAAAATTCAAAAGGAGCCATCCTTAAATAACATGATGCATCTGGGTGTGGAAGAGGGGTTCTCATCTATTTATGATGATGTATTGATTGTGAGGGCATTTTTTATGTTTGAGACTAACATGTGAGGATGGGTGAGAGGTCCAAAATAGTGTGACATCATTTATGGATGGTCTCAAAGAAACCTGGGGTTAATTTTCAGGCCATTACCAACGCATCTATTGAATTATTTGTGAGGTTAGTACTGTACTGTGTAACGGTACTAGGCGTCCCTTCTCGTCCAATAGCCAGACTTAGACTTAGTTATTAGTTCACTTAGACCAGCTTAGTCATTATTATCCGAGAAATTAAATAAATAAATAAAAATCCATAAATGCTAACGCATTTATTGTATGAAAATTAAGTGATTTTGTATCAGTTATTAAATAAAAATGGGAAAAGTGGCCTGATTACCTGATCTGATTATTGTTGCAATCATTGACCCGCCATAAATAAACAGACTGCTTAGCGACAGTACACATTTTAGTCACGTGACTAAATTTACGTTTCCGGCTAAAGTGGTACTTCGAAAAATATGTTTATTATTATTATTATTCATGCATTTTCTTATTGAAGGCTCCCTTTTTTTTAATTAAAAAAAAATTAAATAGCCTTTCAAACGCTAGATTACATTTCATAGTAAAACATATATTTTCACAGAATGATAAAGCATTATGTCAAAATAATTTCCGCAGCTGAGCTATTTTGAAATAAACTTTCTAACTAATTACAACTAAAATATCCACCAATCGCCACAAATCTTAGTAAACGATTGCGTGTAGCCCTAATTATGTTACTTTGTCACATGAAGGCGATTAAGTCAGACATTGTAGGATTTCTGTCATGTCGAATATTTCTCATGTAACGATCGCATTAAAATATTGCGTGATCGACACCAGGGGTTATAAAAAATTGTGCATTGATTAACTGCCCCTGCTTGACGATCAATTTCCACCAATTAGCTAGCTGTAGGCCTAATTCATTTTTTTGTATATATTTAATTGTAAGTACAGACGTTTTATGAATCCAAACTCTTAGAGCTATATGGTGAATATTTCAATTTTCCCCCACTGAAGTACTGGGAGAAATGGGGGAAGCGGTGGAAGACTAGAAATAAAGAAGATTTTTTGCTTAGATGTATATAATTAATATGGATCAACCTTAGCCATACCAAAAGACATGATTTTATTTTTGCCGGAAGTGGAAAAAAGGGGTGGGGGCGTGGGGGAGGGGGGGAGGGGGGTAAAAAAATCTCCGAACGGCTAATTGGCCCACCTCCCGTCATCCTTTCTAACTGAACCTTGGGTCATAGAATCGTTGCCGATGACAACACATTTGATCAAATTTTAGAGACAATACGGGGGGGGGGCGCGAGTCCGGGTGTTACAAAAAAGAGTTATCTTCTTATTTTCTATACTGTGCTCAACCCAACGGAGACAAGTGGAAAGTGCATCTATATAGAGCCAGTTGCGTTCACGAAGGCTTCAAAACACTAACAACGTAATAATATAATCTTAACCCAATGGTTCCCAACCTTTTGAGTTCCACGGTGCCACGGCCGTTTTAAAATATTTAAGAGGTGTGGCGACCCACAACCAGAGTATAACAAGAGTTTAGTCAGAGTGTAGTCAGAATGTAGCCATAGTGTAGTCACAGAGTATAGCCAGAGTATATCAAGAGTGTATTCAGAGTGTAGTCAGAGTGTAGTCAGAGTGTAGTCAGAGTGTAATTAGAGTGTAGTTGGAGTGTAGTAACAATAAGAAGAAGTCCGATTACTGTAAATAATATTTAACTTTTATAATGAAAATTCAAATAAGAAAAAATGCACATTTTATACACAACCCTGCACTAATTTTTCTCTAAAATTTCTGACATTCTTAAACTGATCCTGAACATTTTGTCAGGTGACCCCGAGGCGTCGTAACTCAAAGGTTGAGAGCCACTGCCCTAAATCCATAAACATAAAAAAGTCTATTATGGAGTAGAACTTATTTATATGGATTTATGATTGCTGGTTGCTGGCTGTTTTTATTGTTCTAATACCATCGGACGCTTATTATTGATATAAATAACATAAACTGATGTAAAAAAAAACAAAAAAAAAACATCCATTCCCCCTTATGGTGTGAAGCACATGCTAGGAAATGAGAAGATAACTCTTTTTCTTTTCACACCCGGACCGGTTCCGTTTGTTGCCGAGTCCGAGCATGTGCCTGGTCCGTACCCGTCTCACCCCTAATGCCGTGTCATAACTAGTTATCCCCACGTCATCAGCTGACATTGCCACATCACGTGCTCATTTTTTGACCAAATCAACCAATCAGAAGTCCCTGCGAGCCCCAACAGCTGAAAAGGTCAATAATAAAGCTCCTCAAGACAAAAAACACAATTTTTTTCCCCTCAATGTGGAACTGATGTTTGAATCACCCCCTCCCTCCCCCACTCTCCCTCCCTCCCCTCCCCCAGTTCTATGCATGCCGTTTTTTGTGCCAAACAAAGGAACGCGAGCACTGCAGCAGTGACGTCACTGGGGCCTGGTCACCCAGTGCGGTAAACTCATGGTTTCAGCCCTCTTGACTTTCTCAATGGACGTACCCCCGAGTCTGTCCAACCTGGCGACAACGGTTTTCCGATGACACTCTGTTCTGGTGACACTCTGTCTGGTGGCACTCTGTTCTGGTGGCCATCCGTCTGGTGGCACTCTGTCTGGTGGCACTCTGTCTGGTGGCACTCTATCTGGTGGCACTCCGTCCAGTGGCACTCTGTCTGAGGACACTCTGTCCGGTGGCACTCCACTCTTTAATTTAACTAAGATATGTTATGAAGGAAAAAAAAATTCCGATAGAAGCTCTGTTGAATGCACCATTTACTCGTTGGTGAGTGTATCACATGGCGCGGTGCACACCCCACTCACTCCCAAGTGACGTTACTGCACTACAAAAAACAAAGTAATCTGCAAAAGTTTCTTTTATTCCCTCCCACATCCCTTCAATTCTACTGATTTCAGATGAGATGATGGCATGATGCAATTATAAGCTCACAAGACAAGCCAGGCTATAAATTAAGAGCCCTGCAACTTTCCCGGAGACTCTAAGCCTCTTGGGACTCAACAGTACGGAAAAGTCTCCGACCTTCTTAACATTGTCTCTTGTGTGGCATTGATTTTTTGGTAGACGAGTAAAACATTTTTACTGGTGCAAACTTTAGTGCCAAGGCTGAGACGATTTTACCTTTTTTTTTTACCCTAAATTTAAGTTGTGTCTATTACCATTCTGATTCACATAGAAATATCATAGCTATCTCCAAACATCATAGGGGCAACATAAAGTGTGTACAAAGATATATATATATATATATATATATATATATATATATATATA